GATACGGTTAAAATGTCGCTTTCCGAACGGATTTCTGACTGACTTTCTACACTTTTCATACAGAGATCCGCTATTGTTGTCTTAAAGTGAAGTCACACTTAAAGAGAGGTCACACTTACGGGTTTGTCACACGTCAGGATCTCACTTCGGGAAAATGGTTACTTTGTTGAATTTAAGGAATAGAACTTCTTTATTTCCTGCTTTATTTAATGTATTTTGTTGAATTACTTATGATGTAAAAATAGTTGATTTGGGATGTTCTAAAATTACTTCACAGTTGCCCTTGAATGAAAGGGTGCTAGCTTCATGCTAACATAAAAAATAAAAAGCCGTAGATGGAAATTAGGATAGCTGTTCGGGTTATTGTAAACCAAACAACTGCTACTTCAAGATGTGGACCAGCAACGCATTACTCATAGGTATTTATTCTCTGTACTTTGTGCAAACATCAAATATAATGGCAAAACCTGGTCCGATATTACACTGAAGGGAGGGTTGTTCTCTTGATGTTGCTCTCAAGTGTATCAGATATCTTTCAGTAGATCTAAAGGCTGTTTTTGTCACCTCCTCTTGTAGGTGTCTGAGAAGCGAGCCAAAGATGAGCAGGTGAAGCGAGGAGAGGAAGTGGAGGCGAAACTCGGTGCGCAGGTGACAGCGCTAAATGAAAACGTGGCCACCCTTAAGAGAGAGTGGCAGAGTAGCCAGCGACGTGTGTCTGAGCTTGACAAGCAGACAGACGAGCTGAGGGGGGAGATCGCTGTGCTGGAGGCCACCGTACAACACAACCAGGATGAGAGACGTGCACTTTTGGAGAGGTGTGTTCCGGTGGTGTCGTCTAAAATTGTGTGACGTGGACCAATGCACAGTATGAGTGTCATCAAGTTTAGTTCTTAAAAAAAAGGAAAACAGAATTTGAGTTGATTTTGAGTGTCTCTGTGTGATATTAAAATTGGCTTGATGAACTGAAATCTTTGCATGTGATAAATATGCAAAGAAGACAGAAAGCAGGAAGGCGGCAATTGTTCGCCCCTCAGTGGAATATATATAAAGTACCACAGCCTTCCTGTGCAATATATGATCATGCCATTACGCAAACTATCTCATTGCGTACATTCGTAATCTCGACACATTGTGCATTTCAACCTGTCTTGTTTGTGTGTGTGGTTGTCCTTTGCAATGAAGATGTGTCAAGGGCGAAGGAGAAATTGAGAAACTCCAGGCCAAGGTGGTGGAACTCAGGCGCAAAGTTGACGACACGACGGCAGCCATGCAGGAGCTGGGCCGAGAAAACCAGTCGCTGCAGGTTAGGGAGTGACATTAAAAAAAAAAAAAATTAAAAGATCCAAATAGCTGTAGCCTTCTTCACATCTGCTGTGTTTGCTTTTTAAGATTAAGCAGTCCCAAAGTCTTACCAGGAAGTGGGCAGAGGATCACGAGGTGCAGAACTGCATGGCGTGTGGCAAAGGCTTCTCCGTCACTATCAGGAAGGTAAGGCGGAAATGCAGATAAATCTGCAGGCCATGCTCCCCTTTTTTAGCAATTCGCCCATCCGTCACATGATCACTCCACATTTCAATGAGATCCAACACAGTCTGTGTTCATAAATATGCTCTGATTCTACAATCTCACGGCTCATGACAATTGCTCCGTTGATTGCACCACTATTACTTGGATGACTTTGAGCGGTCCTGAGCTAATATATAATAATCTTCATTAAAAAAAAAAAAAAAATCATCTTTTTCAAAACCATCCAGCGTAAAGAGAAGTGATGATGTGATCATGTATCACTTCAGTTGTCCCGCCACAACTCTCTAAGTATTTAAGTGAAATGTCTGTCAACACTGTGTGAGACGTATGCCATGTTCACATTTAAAGGCCTTATCCAGTATCAGTACTTGGCAAGTACTCCAATAGAATTAGCAATACTCGTACTTGGATTTGGGTTCTACTAATTTAAGATTTTTCATTTTACCAGTAGTTAGTTTTTATTTCCTTGTATTTTTACATTCTGTTCAATTTTTAATTTGTTTTTAGATCGGATTTATTTTTATTTTTTCAAAAATGCTTTGTTGTAGTTGAGTTTGTATTAGTTTTGGTATTATTTATTATTTATAGTTTGCAGTATTTGTCAAGTGCAAGCTAGAGAGGGGAAAAAAAGGGTCACTAAGTATTGTACTGATGTACGGCAATAATGAAATGAATATGTTGAAAAATGAACTCCAAAAGCTCATGTAAGGTATTGACTACGATGAAAACAAAGGACAGTTTCACTATGATTAGTTAGTTTTCTTTCATTAATTTCCATTTTCGTTTTTTTTGTTTTGTTTTTTTGTTTTGGGTTTTTTTTTGTTGACATTGACGAAAATACTTTAAAGCTTTAGTTATCTTATTTGTTTTTGGTAACAATAACAAACTTGACTTGGACAGAAAAAAAACTTATTAGGCTACCAGTCCATTTTGACAAATGATGCAATTCTGATCTGTCACTGTCAAAGACATGTTAATTAATTTTAAACAATATGTTTATTTTTGTGGTTTTAGTTTGCATTGCACTTTGTACTGGGTGATTTAGCCAATATTTTCGATTCTCATGGAACTAATTGAGTATTTGCAAATATTTTGCTCAGCTGTCATCCTAATGCCGATTGTGCGGCACCTCAAACTTCAACCACAATAATAACCTTGCTGTTAAATGAATTCCTCGGACAATAAAGGCCTTTTCACACCGGCTTGTCTAATTGTGATGTTCCTGCAGCACCACTGCAGACACTGCGGGAACATTTTCTGCGCCGAGTGTTCGTCAAGGAACGCCCTGACGCCGTCCTCCAAAAAAGCCGTGCGGGTGTGTGAGACGTGCTTTGAGGAGCTGCAAGGCTGAGTTGACGCTCAAGGAAAAATACTCAAGGTGTCTTTCTCATGTAAGATGTACACTAACAAGGACAGAGACAGTGTTGTGGAGAAAAGGTGGGCCTTTTGTTGGCGAGACATCGGGGTTATGCGATGACGTGAGATCAATTGGAATACAGTAATGTGGACATGTTTTTGTGCCTTTGCGGAGTCTGTGAACGGCCACCTGGTGGCGACAGACGCAAGTAAACACCACCCATGACTTTCCGTTGTCGTTATCTGCAGTGTTTTGCTTCTATAAAAGTGGCTTGAAAAGCCGACGGGACATTGAAGGCGTCACTGGGCAAGTCATTCACTAATTGTCATGTAGAAAAGCACAGCTGCCGCGCAAATGTAAAATGCAAGTAACTATTTTTGTCTTAGAAATGAAGAAACAAAATCACAAATCTATATTTTTATTTCTACATAATGACACCATCTGTCAAGCGAAGTGCTGTGATAGGTTTGGTTAATAGTTCAGATCTGTGAAAGTCATCTACAAAGGTAAAATGCCACAATGGTGAAAGAACACTCGCCTGGAAAAAAGTGCCCATCCCATGACTTCATTTTCTCTTTTCGAAGCACTAATGTCAGATCAGTTACTGCATGTTGCCTTTGTGTGGCAGGCTGTGAGCGCGTGCGCGCGCATGCTTGTGTGTGTGTGTGTGTGTGTGTTGACATTGTTGTATATTGTGACCAAAGAATGTGAGGAGAGGGAAAAAAAAGTTTGTTTCAGTACAATCACCTTATCAAGTTCTGTTTTCAACACAGCGCTACGCGTTGTGTATGACATTCTTTTAATGTGCCACGTTTCTATCTTTGAGTGTTAATATCTTTCAAAAGGTGGTGCTTGTTTTTTTTTCAAATTGGTAAAGCAGTCAGTGTGCGTGTGTGTATGCGTGTTTTCAATGGATTAACTACTGCCGGGCGTGTGCCTGTGTGTAATGTAGGCTTGCTGTCTTATGTCAGGATGCACCATGCACGACCTGCACTTATAATTGCCCGTTTTGTCTCCCACCTGTAAGATTTCAAACCCTTATTTAATTTATCCTCACAGTTGTCAGTCATTTGTTACTTCTTGAAGCACTGAAGCAGGCTGTAAAAATTGGTATATCTATATATAAAGACATGTTGGCATCGTGCGGCAACTTAAAATGCCCATCTCAGTTCCACACACACTCTTTTTGCGTTATTTTATGTCTACCTCAGATTGGTAGGAGAACCTTGAAGACGTTATGTGTCATAATAGTCTGCAGAAAGACCACACAGTAGCTAATCCAATTACTACTACAAGAGCCAGCATTTCTGTTCCTGGGATACTTAATTCCAACAGTGGCTGACATAATTCATCTTTATCAAATGCTTTGAACAAGAGAAACATAAAATTTGTTTGTGTGCATTGTTTGTTTTTTTTTTCAATACAGACCTGTACATTACGCACTGAACAGTTGCTTTCTTCTTTTTGTTCTTCCCGTCTGCTGTCAAGCATGCTAATCGGCGAAACAATGACTCATGGTTTTGAATGCTTTTATTTGGTTGTTGTGAGTGAAGGCCTGTGCCTTTATGCACCGTTACCTCTGTACAAGGTGGGCCAACATGTCATCGTATTGAATAGTGACAAGAAAGAAACCAGTCGTAATCCACTCTCACTTGAATTAGTTCATTTTCTAATTCATTGCAATGACAAGCCGAATAAAACATTCATCATTCGATCATGTTTCCACGTTTTGAATTTTTGCATCGCGTTTGGAACATCATTTAAAACAAACAAAAAAAAAAAGAATGCAAGAAATGTGTGAGTTGTTGTAGGCTGAAAATGAATACAGTTCTCTGCACATCTTCATTGAGCCAGTACAGATTGTAAAACTTGGAAACTTTCTATTTTGCAGTGTAATCTTCGCCCACTAACCATTTTAGGTGTCACATGAATTGATTTGTAGATTAAACACAAACAAGTGTGCTGATGACAAAACCAATGTTGATTCATTTTAACCAAGGAGTTTTGGAAATATTCATATATAACTATGTATACACAAACTACAGTATAATGTGCAGTGTATATAAAAATTTAAAAAAATAAGTGGACACTCTACACACCTGTGTTGAAATGCAAGTTTTCGATATTTTTAGGGTTTATTACTATAACACACGAGACTCGTTGCACAAATGTGCATTCCCACTTACGTTGTACATAAGACAGAAATTGGTCAAGTGAGAACCATTCCCATTCATCATACCAGAAGTAAGGCCACTCCTGCCAATAATACAACCCCTGGCAAAAATGATTGAATCGTTTCATTTTCTATAAGGAAGAAAAAAAAAAAGCAGATCACAGACATGACACCAAACTAAAGTCATTTCGAATGGCAACTTTGTGGCTTGAATGAACACTTAAACAAGAAGAAATATGTGGTTTAACAGTTGTCTTGACCGGGGTGCCCAATAAGTTCTTGCCTCAGAATTGAGCAAGTCCATATATTTTTTTTCCCTTCTGCTTATGATAAAACAAGACTACCACGTGTTTTTTTGAACGTTTCTTACAGCCAGAAATTTGCCATTTAAAATGACTTTAGTTTGGCGTCATGTCTCTTCACTGCTTTTTCATTTCTACAAAATTAAAACAACCAAATGAACGTCCTCTGAGACTTGTGATTCCATACTTTTTTTTTTTTGCCAGGGATTGGACCAGTCCAGTCAACATTCGATACCCACTGTTGTAAATCCGAATAAAATTAAGCAAATTCACATGAACACCCAATGTGCTACTCCCATACCTAGTGTAAGAAGACAAACAAGGTAACAAGTTGTACTACATGACCAAAGTTTTAATTGTACACTACTGCAGCAGTTCACTGAACAGTACCGGATGTGCTAGTGCAGACCTTGATGACACTGACGAGTACGCGGACAACGGGGCGTGTGCGACAGCATCTAGTGCAGTGGGGTGTTTCAGATCTGGGATGACTCCAACCACAGTGAGGCGTACTTCACTCGCGCATGCTGAGAGTCCAGCTTCAGCAGGGCCGACACAGCCTCCTCGATCTTCGACAGCCACGCTCTCTGGACAACAAACATTCCACACGCAAGTATAATATGAGGTTCACGCCCAAGTGGCGCTTTTCATGTCATAGAACAAAGATTAGGATGGAGATTTGTGCATGGGGACAGTCCAGTTCCACTACAATCGCTGGAATAAAATACGATCCTCATTGCAATGGCAGAAAGGTATCCTTCAATAAACAACAGGGTACATTATCCAAAACATGCCCGGGTGGAGCTGAGCTGGAAAAAAACAAACGTCAGCAAATCTCCACAAAGCGTGCGGGTGAATGCAAATGAAGACAATGAAAAGATTCCAAATCCTATCCCTGAATTTACCTTAGAAGCCTCTGATGCAGCCTGCAGGACGAACGCACCAATACACTGCTGGTAGCGGTTCTGGTGCGTGATTATAAAAGAATGAGGCAATCCTGACGCTTTAAAAGAATGACAATGATATCCATTAAACGATGTAAACGTCACAACCAGCCTGATGCATATCGACACTCTTTTATTACTTGAGGCATTGAACTGATCGATGTTCCTGAGCTGGAGTCGGTCCAAAGAGACGGGCTGGTCGAGAACCGTGAAGGTGCAGCCTTCTTTTAGCAGCTGGTCCAGCTCCGGGTTCTGCGCCAAGCGCAGGGAGTTGGCTTCCGGTCCGATGGACCTCTGGGCACGAAGAAAATGTACAGTCGTGTTATGAAAACGGGGTTCAAATAGTCTGGGATTTTTCATTATTGTTATGTTTGATTTTCATTTGACTTTTGTTTTTTAAAATTCAGTTTGTTTTGTTAGTTTATAATTCATTTTTTATTTTTTTCAAAAATGCTTTGTTTTAGATTAGTTTTCATTCGTATTAGTTTTAGTTTTTTGAGGGTTTTTTTGTTTACAAGTATACCGAGTCTTTGTTGAGCGCAAGATAAAAAAAGAAAGTCACTAAGGATTTTATAACTCTCAAACAAGTGTTTGACCTTCTTTCTGTAAAGACATACAGCAACACCAAAATGAGTACAATTTAAATGAACACTGAAAGACAGTATGATATTTTCGCTATAAATATAGCATGTTCGTTTCGAGGTTTTTTTTTTTGTTGTTGTTTTAAATGCATTTTTGCTGATTTCGTAACTTTTTTCTGCTGTTTTTTGTCAACTATAATTTTGGTTGAGAAGGATAACAACAGGCGAATAAAGCTCAAAATTCTCCTGGGTTACAATAAATGTTCACAGGTGAAAGAAGAACAGATGTCAAAAAGTTCTCAAGAGAGTGGAGCTGTGGAACGCTACCTATGGAATAAAATGTCAAAGTGTTTCCAATAAAAACAGCTTCACTCCCTTTTAGTCTCGTGAGCACGACGACGACGCGCCTACACACCTTCTTGTTTCTCTTTATCTTGGTGATGAGCAAGAATTCGTCAAAGAGGAACACGTAGACGTCAATGAGCTTGGCATTTTCTGGAAGGGAGCCAAAGGAAGACGGCGTGAGAGCGCGTTCAAAACGCTCGCCCAAACGCGTCCGAGAAGCACACGGGCAGACCTATGAGCACCAGTTTGCCTTCGTGCAGCAGACTTCTGTGAGAAATGAGATTCTCCAGTGTCATGGGCTTCAGCAGATGCTTCACGGTCTGAAGAAAGAGAAGCAGCAGCAACATCAGAACTGCAAGCTGACATTTTGTGACCGTATCACGTCTGAGCTTTTTGTAAGAAGAAACAACAGAATGGGCTGGGAAGAAATGAAGAGTGATATCTGAGGTCACAGCCTGAGAAGAACAAGATTGGATCATGTCATCTGTATTATAAATACTGAATAGGGCTGAATAATTTAGCAAAATTAATTTAATTATAATTTTTTCCCTCGCGAATATTGCGATTTAAAACGCAGGTTTTTTTTCTTCACGAGCAATAAATTCGTCTCAATTCCAATCAACAATATCAGATTTATTCTACATAAATGTCCAGGTCTGAAAGATTAGGATTCCTCTAAAATAAAGGCGAATGAACAATGAATTAAGATGAAGGATAGATGATTTATCCACTTCAATTTTAGTTAACTTACAAAGGCTGACTTGCAAAATTCGACCAAACAAGTGTGGCGTAAACATAAGTCAGTCAATCAGATTACCGCTACAACAATCATGTAAACTAATCTGTGGCTTCATCCTTCTAACATTTCATTTTTCACAACACGATAAGTAAACGTGGACTACACTTAGCACTGCTTCGACAAACCATTGTTAAAAAAAAATGGAAAATAAAAACAAAAAACGAGCACACCTCACACTAAAGCCTACTGAAAGACCAAAATGTTTTTTTGTTTTTTTGTTTTTTGCATCCCAATGTGTTCAGCCCTAACAACGAATAGGTTTTCAAGAACTAATTCGAGCATGTTCCAAGATGGCCGCTCAAACGTTTCCAGTCGAGACGACCGGCATTCGGCATCACCGACCTCGGGGATGAAGGCCCGCTTGTCGCGCTCCCACACAGGCAGCCACACCAGCGCGTCTCTCAGCTGTTTGACCTTCTGGTAGTTGTCCAACCATTTCACCTTTCCCTCCAGGTCACCTTGGAGGGAAGACAATGACACTATTCACAATAATTACTTTCTACGACAAGTAACAGGGTTCCAATTACACGGGAAGTTCCCACGAAGGTTACTTGAGCCGCCCAAAGACACTCATCCGTCTGTGGAGGCCTTTTTATTTTGGTAAGCATTCATTACTTTGCCACTGTTGTGAAAGTGCTCGATATATTAAGATGTATTGTATTGTATTGTAAAAGCAAAGAGTCACGTTCATCTCACGCTTCTCCTTCAACACGGTTTTGCCTTGGTGATAACAAATGGATTTCTTTGGGTTTTTAGCACCACTTTTCCCCTAAATTAAGGAGCAGCCTCAACAAGCGCTGAAAAGGAGAACGTGAAACAAAAGGAGAACATCCGCCAGACGTGATGTGAAGCAAGACGGATCAAATGCAGGCTGCTTTTTTATTTTTATTTTTTACACTCATAAATCAATGTAACATTTTATTTATTCTGCTAATATTTTATTTTATAACGAAACAAATTAGATAAGTGAATAAAATAAACTGATAAAAATGTAACATTTAAAAGATGGCTCCATCAATGCAGCAAATATACATGACTCTTATGACGTAAATGTTCATTGGGCTGCATTAAGATTGGAGCGGCGTGCCAATCGTCAGATTTTTTTTTTTTTTTACTTTGAGTGAATACATTTGACGTGAGTGACCTTAAGAAAGTCTTCCACGAGATGGTGGCGATGAACGTCACAACAAAGTGTGAAGGTATGGCTAACCTGATGTTTGAACACAAATGGTGAAGCAACACATGAACACAGAGCATGTAACAATTATAACAGGCATACAATATACTATTTATGCAACTTAGCTGTGATGGTCTTCGTGTTTCCTTATCATCATATATTCAGTATGCATACAATATGCTGCCCCTTGGTGGCCAAGGCGCACATATCAGAAGGAGCAGCACAATGTCCACCGAGTTGAAGCTTGAAATCATACTGCAAAACTGTTTAATGTTTTACTGTACATATTTATGTTATTCCTGCATGTCATTTCTCTTATTAAAAAGAAAAGCTTAGAGGGCTGGATTAACGGCAGTACAATTCATTGGTAAAGGTTGATTTGCTATACGAATGATTGGAGTGATCAGCATTGCTACGGATCGAATGAAACATGGTCGTAGTGCTATTGGTTATTTAATTCGTTCACTGCCATTGACTTCTGTGGCGTTAATCGTCATCCAAAGCGTTGTCTTTCATCCACGTGAAGTGAAATTCAAGTTTATCAACTACTGTTATAGAGACCAGATGCCTGTAGATGGTGGCAGTGCAGCGCTTGCAATTTCAAACCAGCACAGCTTTTGAGAAGAAGAAAGATACATGGGGGTCTTTCGGCTTGTCCCGTCAATTATGAAGGAGAGAAAATGTAACATCGGGGAGGTCGGCCACGATTCGGCATGTCACATTCCAACAGAGTATGGATATGGATAGTACAAAGGGGTTATGTGTTGCAGTAGTTGGTAGCAAGTGTGTTTTTTGATCTTAAAAAAATGCTGCTATTCATGTAGTGAATGACGAACACCATGTTAAAAAAAAAAAAAAGCCACTGATGTTCAAATCAAGCCATATGTTGAGCGAGTGTCGCTCACAGTGCATTTCATTGGTGCACATCTGTGAATAAGTTATTTTGTTCCAGATGCCCTTGTTTTTGTGGTTTGACAAAATCCCGGGGCCATGTGTCAGTTTTCAAAATCCAATGCGGCCCCCTGAAAGCAAAAGTCCGCCCACCTGTGCTTTGGATGTCCTCGTGTACTTTGGTCCCATTTCGAACGCATTTCAAAATATCGGCGTGTTGGCTAGGGATGGTCGCTTGTCAAACACGGGTGTGAGACCACGCTGATAGATTAGAGCCGACTAAGCTTATAAAAGACGTACTCCACCTACCTACGGGGCACTCCTTGTTACCTCACCAGAGCAACTCTGACCTTCTTTAAGGGTTACGGGAAGTACTGCATGCAAATCAGCCTCTGCGGGGTGTGGCTTTTTTTTTTTTTTTTTTGCCCAACAGAAAAATGGCTAGGCCGCCGCTCAGCAAATACGTATTCGTCAGTGTTGCAATGGAGTGAGGAGGAGGAGGCCAAAATGTAGTATAAGTTTTAAGCATGTTTGCTAATGCTGTATTTAATGTTAGGCTAATATTTATAATAGAATAAAGTAAAATCCGATGCTTTTTTTTCCCCATTGCATCCAAAGCAGTGAGTCCACATTTGCCTTGTGTCCCAGAGCTCAGCACACCGCATTTAGAATTTTTTTTCCCTCCATTTTCTCTGTACAAGTTAAAAATCCACCTAAATCTTTCGCTGTCGCCACTCTAAAAAGCACGGCGCCACCCCCTCTCCGATTGGATGCCGCGTCCGTCATCAAGTGCCGCTCCGCGCCGGAATTGAACGTTTTTCAAATCTAGTCGGCAGCTGCCCCAATTGCTACGGATCGAATGAAACATGGTCGTAGTGCTATTGGTTATTTAATTCGTTCACTGCCATTGACTTCTGTGGCGTTAATCGTCATCCAAAGCGTTGTCTTTCATCCACGTGAAGTGAAATTCAAGTTTATCAACTACTGTTATAGAGACCAGATGCCTGTAGATGGTGGCAGTGCAGCGCTTGCAATTTCAAACCAGCACAGCTTTTGAGAAGAAGAAAGATACATGGGGGTCTTTCGGCTTGTCCCGTCAATTATGAAGGAGAGAAAATGTAACATCGGGGAGGTCGGCCACGATTCGGCATGTCACATTCCAACAGAGTATGGATATGGATAGTACAAAGGGGTTATGTGTTGCAGTAGTTGGTAGCAAGTGTGTTTTTTGATCTTAAAAAAATGCTGCTATTCATGTAGTGAATGACGAACACCATGTTAAAAAAAAAAAAAAGCCACTGATGTTCAAATCAAGCCATATGTTGAGCGAGTGTCGCTCACAGTGCATTTCATTGGTGCACATCTGTGAATAAGTTATTTTGTTCCAGATGCCCTTGTTTTTGTGGTTTGACAAAATCCCGGGGCCATGTGTCAGTTTTCAAAATCCAATGCGGCCCCCTGAAAGCAAAAGTCCGCCCACCTGTGCTTTGGATGTCCTCGTGTACTTTGGTCCCATTTCGAACGCATTTCAAAATATCGGCGTGTTGGCTAGGGATGGTCGCTTGTCAAACACGGGTGTGAGACCACGCTGATAGATTAGAGCCGACTAAGCTTATAAAAGACGTACTCCACCTACCTACGGGGCACTCCTTGTTACCTCACCAGAGCAACTCTGACCTTCTTTAAGGGTTACGGGAAGTACTGCATGCAAATCAGCCTCTGCGGGGTGTGGCTTTTTTTTTTTTTTTTTTTGCCCAACAGAAAAATGGCTATCCTGTTTGCAGCACAAACATGCCTTCCTAATCAGCAAGTTAAAATGGGTGAGGGCATGGCACCTGAGGTGCATTGGTCAATTCACCTTTTCATTAACAAGTACTTTCCAGGAATGGCGGCAAGCCTTACAAGAACACGCACGTCCTTGAATGAGAAACCGATCTGTCGTTTGTCTGAGTGGAGGAAGAGGAGGACGTGCTCACATATAGACATGTCCACTTGCTCCGCTATCGCCTGCGCATCCTTGCTTTCCTCTTCCGTGCGGAACCTCCTGGCGATGTTCCGTAGGAGCAGCGGGTAGCGGGTTAACCTCTGCAACGGCGCCACCAGCAGGTCGCGCAGTTGCAACCTGCGGCACTGGTTGTTGCCCTCGCACCACTGCGTGACAAAACGCAGAGAACGGCAGAAACAGTGTAAGAGCCGGGGCGCAGAGGTGATGCGTTACATCATTGAGAACAAATAGGAAGTAATATAATGAGTACGTCGGCAGGATGTTTGTAGCTTTCCTTTCAAGGTGCTCTCAGAATTAGAATACTTTATTGATTCCTGTGGGGGAAATTTGTGAGCTCTGACGCACATGCACAGTGTAAGTGCCCTCGTGTACCTTGACGTAAGACCCAAAGTCCTCTCTGGGCTTGAGGCTGTCCAGATAAAGCAAAGCTGTGGAGTAGTTGAGGCAGTACTTCTGCAAGGAGTGACATATGCTCTGCTGGAAAGCCTGCCAACAGAGCAATTCCACATCAGCTAGTACACGGCAGATAAACGCATCATAAAAAGCAGACGTGGGTAGCCTCCCAAAAAAAGAAAGAAAACCACACCAAGTTCACTGACAAAAGAGACATAAACTTGTGAAAATCAGCATTGCAGTATGTCTGAATTAAGTGAAAAAAAATTTTAAGAAACAAATCTGGCCTGGCTAAAAAATATTGGCACTGTAGCCTTAAATTAAATTGTAACAACAAAAACTATCTTAACTGGATGGCAAGGAAGCCGTGGCCAAGTGGGTTTCCCATGGTGAAGATCTTCACCATGGGAAACCCGGTTCAAGATCAACCTGCCTGGACACACAGCCGCAGTGCTCTTGAGCAAGACACCGACTGACACGTCAAACTGATTCCCGGGCACTCAAGTTGGCCCCCTGCTCAAGTGTTCTCCGATGGCTCAAATTTCATGTACATGACAAACCAAGATGGTTCTTATTTTCTTCTTCTATGAATACTTAATGTCCCTTTTGTCCCTGAGCTGACAACACAAGCGAAGAGTTATTCATGCCGTGAGAGTGCTTTGTTGGAGGTCTGCTGTCTAATTATGTGCTATTGTGTTTGCAAAGAAATAAAATGTATGATACAGCGCGGTTGAACATTTGTGCTAATCTAAGAGAAATTGTTAACCCTAAAATGCCATTCGTATCATATTTGATACATGCAGTTTCATTATGCAACTCATTCTTGACAGGACATTAAATCATCTGTTTCAAATTTGATACTGCAGGTTTAAAAATGATTTTCCCCAAATTTTCAGTTTTTGATGTAATCTACATAATGCTTATAAATGTGATACAACAAATATCTAAAACAAAATAATATGGCAAAAATATTTTTGTGAATTTTGTTCTTAGGGTTAATGAACATCTCAGTTCCCAAAAATCAGATTTTTCTGGCTATTCCTTGATGGGTCAGGCATTAAAGGTTTAAATTAATACCTTTTGGCATAAAGACCAATCTTAGGATGATACAGCTCATCTTATGGATACCATCAGGTTGTACAAGGTCAATGTAAGGGTGTAGTCACGAATGGTATGTTCTCCAAACTGACAACACTCATGTCTGAAATAATTTGAGCTTGTCTAATTGAAGCTTTCTCCTTACCAGCAGCCTTACGTGTAACGTAATGATTTTTTTTTTCATCACAACTAATTGTTTCCAAGCAAAGCAAGTAACTGCTGGCACGCAGTTCCTCATCCCTCACTTGAATGCTGTGTGGCATTGTTGTCTGGCTGCCACACCGTGTCAACTCACCCCGTGGAAACTAACGCATGTGGCTGATATATTTGAATAGAGTCCACGACATCAAATGCTTTAGGGAGAGGCCCGTGAGAAGCCATGAGTCACTGCAAAGCCTTTCTTTGCTACGTGACTCAATGGGGGCATTTTATTTGTCAAGGTTGAGCTGCACCTACTGCTTGCCTAGTGAAATCAGAATTTGTTTTGGTCCAGCAAAGAGACAAAAAAATGTTGATGTGAAATGTTTGGCTAATATGTAAGGAGATCTAGAAATGAAGGAGTGACAGTGGACTGGCATCTTACGTTGCTCAAGAGCTCCAGCAGAGCGGCTTGGTTACCATCGGCGATGCCCAACGAGTCCTTGATGACGCGCAGCAAGTTGTTAAGGAAGCCAAAGCTCACCTGCAATGAAAGACATGGCGTGACTGTCCAGTAGTGACGATGTACTTTATACACATTACATTGCACAGCGAAAGACATGGCGTGACTGTCCAGTGACGATGTACTTTATACACATTACATTGCACAGTACAAAGACATGCCTGTTGTTGCATCAAGATTCTACTATTTCTTTTTGAATCACAATCAGCAAATGAGCGGTAAATAAAAGCCCGAGTTTACATGGCATCCATCCCGGGGTGTCTCACGCACGACATTGCGAGTTACGGTCAGACGTCTCGACATCTCATGTTGTTTCTGAGCTGAGGGAGGCGAGTGTTGCAATTGTTTTTGACGAACAAAAGCCAAACGCCACACAAGAGACTGATAACGTGACGGGCTGATGATTTATTGAAGTGATACGTGCAAAGTTATTGGGCCCGTCTGCTGTGCTGCCGTTTAAGCTCACCAAGCAAAGCTCACTGAGGTTGGCAAACAGCCTCCAGGCGTCAATGTCAGCCAGGCAGGTTCTCATCTGAAGGTTCGTGAGTGTCGCCAAAAACACCTGAACGCAACAAAAGAGTCCCGACGGACAATCGGCTTAGACAGACAACCAAAAGACTTCAGCATCAGGAATTCAGAGGGGAAAATGTAAAGAACAAAGCAGCAGGTGTCGGGTTTTTATTTCGGTTTGGTGTGTTTATTTATGCTCCTGCGTGCGTATTTGGGCGTGCGGGAGGAGCTATTGTGTGGTGAAAAATCACCTCTTTGAGAACCATGAGCTGATCCAGGAAGTAAACACACTCGCTGGTGAACAGCTCCCAGATGGCCTCTTGTCTTTTAAAGCCCAGAGGGTCAGAGGTGGCGCTCCACTGGGACGACTGGTCCTGCAGGAACTCTGCTACGGAGTAGTCCTGCACAAAAAGTACCGAAAGCTAGCACGGTTCATGCTGAGAAATTAGTTTCAAGATCGGAGTGACAGAATGGCAAGAAAGCGCTTTGGTGTAAAACACGGATCGCATTCTGTGATGTTTTTCCCACCGTGGGGATCCACTCAAGCGTGCGCAGTGCGTAGTGATATTTATATGCTGCAGGGTTACCGCCAAGAAAAGCAGGTTCTTGCACAAACTTGTTATTTCAGAGTAGCAGGTTCCACACTGATTCTATTTGGATTAGAAATCTGGATGTGTTATCCTCTCAATGTGAATAATGCATCGAGTGAAACAAAAAAAAAAAAAAATCCCTCGCAGCACAGTGAAGACATATTTACACAACAAATAGCACGGTGCTTCGGCTGCTGCTGACAGAGGACATTTCTCACCTTATATTTCTGAAGGTCAGAGTTCCGCCAGTCCTGGATTTGGACTGTTGAGAGATATCCTTCAATATCCGACACCGACGTGCTTGTTTGGGACTTCCCTTTTGTCTGAAAATTAAAAAGGCATAACTGAAAAAAATAAAAGTGTTATTGTGTGCGTGTTTCTTTTTGAGTGTGTGTGTGTGTGTGTGTGTGTGTGTGTGTGTGTGTGTGTGTGTGTGTGTGTGTGTGTGTGTGTATCACAAGCAAAAAAGTTTAACCAAAGCAAAAATGCGGTAGCGTGCGGCTGTGCGCATTCAGGCCCAGCCTTGCATGATCAAAAATTAAACGAATCAATTTGGCTCAACTTCTACACTGGGCATTTCCCCCAATTGCAAACTCTGCGAGAGGAAAAAGGGGATGAGGAACCATATTAATCTGCTTTGTTAAATGGGTCAGGGGACAATGTTGAAACCGCAACAAACACACACGCACACATCAAAAGAAACCGTGAACACAACAGCTGCTAAACCACAAATAAGACTTACTGTGCTTCGCCTTGAAAAAGGCCACTTTGACTTCTTTGTGTCTGCAAAAACACACAAAAGAGTGACGATCACAAAGGGAAATGAATGTGAAACTAAACAATGTGCTGGCAAACTGTAGTTACAAATGAGTTGGCCGATGTGAGAGAGCTCCTTGGTTTGATGGGATTGAAAGGTGACAAGCTAAAAATGCTTTACAAATCATGACTCAAATACATCTGGGGACACTTTTAGCAGCACGCACCTCTGTTGTACAAATGCTAAAGTCGACAGCTGCGATGATTGATCTTAACTGGCAGATTAAGACGAGAGATATGTGGACTGACATGTTGTGAGGAAGCATATAAGTGAAAGCTATCTTTGGTATTCTGGCCAGATGGTGTGACAAAGTACAGTACAAATGGGAGGATTTTTTTTTTTTTTTTTAATATACATACCAGAAAAGTTGTTTAGTATGTCAGCTGCGCCATTGGATACAAACAGATCTCCGGGTGAAACATCCAAGCCAGGTAAACTGACCACTACGGAGCTCCGCCTCCTTTCCTCCAGCCTGAAGTAGACAGAAAAACCACCAGTAAATGAAGAATGAATTGTCTCATAACTCAATAACATAATGATTCATGCCTTTGGATTCGTTTTGTAACATTTATATAAGCAATCTCGCTTTGATAGAGACAATACTTCCTGTACGTCAGGAGGAAATAACTAAATTCCATGTTATCATTCTTCTTGAAATGCCAGTGAAATGCCATCTGCGCTGCGCAGCAAATTGGCCATTTACGACACATGCGGGAGGGCAAAAATAAACACCAAATTGTATGTTTCTGGCCTTTTGACAGTGGCAACCTTGTCAAAGTTTCACTCCATTTGTGTCAAAAGAGACACGCGACGATTGTGGAGCACTTCTCATCCTCTTGTTCCCTTTTCAGCTAACTACCAAGGCATGTCAGGGGGGGAAGAAACCCCCCAGAGGTGTAGCAACAAAGCTCATGGTGTTACTGCTGCTGTGATTAAGGGAGAGATAAACCTGAGCAGAGAACAACTCAAGTAATTGAGTCGTGCTGTGCAGTAAACGCCACTCACATATACAGCAAGACCAACAGGTTGGGTTTGGTATTTTATTTATTTATTTGTTTATCTATTTATTTATTTATTTTACTTTTTTCTTTACATTTCCACAAACGTTATAGTTGCAACTTGCAAAACATACGACAATGTGTTTTTTTTAATTGGCCCACTGGAAAGTGTGTTAGGGTACCTAAAGGGTGATGCTGATTGCCAGTCAATCACAGGAAGGTGCCACTACATGAGCAATAACTGACTCCTCTGTCCCTCAATCTATCTACACAGCAAGCGGACAGGCTGGTTCTGAAGTAAAGGTTCTTCTTGCAGCAGCGTGCCATGTCGTGACAGCTGGCCAGTAACACTTGACAGCTCGTGTGCTTTCACTTCCGAACACCGATAAAAATGTTCCGGGCATCAGAACTGATGAAAGCAGACCATTGTTTCAAGTACGCTGTAAACATCCTTCATTAAAGCGACTTCACTGAACGTCGAATCCATCACAAAGCTCCACTTAGACACTCTAGTTAGTGTCGATGACAGCAAACGTAAGAGGAAGTACAAGAACGACAGACACCCCTGGCTCGCCTCGGCCCGTGATAAAATGCAAAACAGCAGTGGTCCTTTTTTTTTTTCCCCCTTCCTCGTAGCACACAATGAGATCTGAGGTTACATGTCTGCAGTTGAGCTTGCTCAACTGTCAAACAAGCACAAATGCCCACAGGCGGAAATCAGAGCATTCGCGTAGGTTCGTGGCATTCACCCTAGTCAAACTTCCACAGTGATCCATCCTTTCAGGTAAAGTAATACCAAATCAACCTGAAAGGAGATGATAGCGAGTGGGCAGCAGCACACAAGCTTGCAAGAAGGGCACCAACACTGCCCGCAAACCAGGTCAGAGCGTGTGGGCGCGCCTCATTCCGCAGCATCCTCATAATGACATGCTGTTGCTTTGTGTCCAATCAGAAAGCCTCCTCTGTGTCCACTGAGGGCCCTTGTAAAAATGGGCGCTTTGTCCCCTTGCGCTACAGGAGAAATAATGATGCACGAAAACAAAACTCGCACCGCCGATGCCTTTGCAGGGCTCGGCCACGGGAAGAGGCGTAGTGTGCCAACGTGTAATTAAAGAGACAATAGCTGCCTAATTATCCTGCCAGGCAACAGCCCAGCCGCCCATCGGGAGGGGTGTGGGTGGCACTAAGAGAAAACGGCATTAATGAGGGTTTGTCTAGTCCGCACAGAACCATGGGACTCTCAAAACTTAACTGCGCCCCACTAACCAAGACAGGAGTGACAAAGAAAGCTCAATGGGGCTCCTTAGCTCAGAGATCCCCCCCTCTTCTCCCTCATGCTTGTTCACGGGCGCCCAATGACATCAGGCAAGGCCCGAAAGTGTTGGAACAAGATGGGGCCGATTAGGTTTTTGTGGCGACGTCCAGTCATAACAGAGCCAGCTCATCGGGACAATTAGAGACTCTTCAATAGGAGGGAAGAAGGCTTGTGTTCGTACATGCCTCATATTAAAAAAGGGGTCGCCTCAAAAGGCGGGGAGGGGGCGGGGGGAGATGATGCTGACTCAGCATGCAAAACACTCACCTATTCGGGTGTTGCTCCTTCTCCTGCAAAAAAGAAAATAATAATTACAATAATAAAATAAATAATGCAATCACAGACAAATGTCAAGATCAAATTTGAATGACCACCAAGTTTGAAGCTTTCAAAGAAATATATCCCCTTTTTTTTCTTTTTTTTAATGAATATGCCATTATCGGGATAATTAAGGAAAAAAAAGTAGCAACCCCTTGCGAAGTGAGAAAATAAAAGACCAGAAGATTTATCAAGACATGCGCCAATGCTTTTTCATTGGCTCACGTGCCAGAACGCAGGGTTTGGTGGAAATCACTCACGTATTTTTATTTTTTTGCCTAATCCTACAAACAAACAGCGAAGAAAACAACCTTGCCAGAAAAAACAAAAAAAACCTGCGCTGGCTTTGTCTTCCACAGCACTCGGCATTCCACAGCCGACGCAGAGTGCTCTTCTTGCAAAGGTCGCCATTATATCACTTTCAAACACATTCAAATTTGAAACACTGTTTTAAGTGGTCGCTCAGCTTCAAAAGCTTCACGCTATCTCAGGAGAATGCCCGCACCCCATTGAGAATGCGGCGGGTTGAATAGCAGGAGCTGATGAAAAGATCTGCCATTATCTTCTTCCATCGCTCACTGACCCCTCTATTATTAGGTGACTGCTGACTGCCGCGAACGGGGGCCCAGGGAGAGCACTTCCCAGGCCTCGGCGAGCAGCGGGCTCGGCCCGAGCTGTCAGTGCATGTAACTGCTGATTCATTGGCTGTCAAAAGCTTGCACTGTGGATGACCACCGCAGGGGGCAAGGAAGAATGAGCCCGATCGGACTTCCACAAGGAAGGAATGTGTAACAATTTAATTGACAGGCTGGGGATTAAAATCCACACCGGAATACACCACATATAGCGGCCAGAGTCTAATGATGGCATCGAGATGGCATTTTTTTTTTTTAAAGGAAACATGATGCTCTCCCCACCCCACCAGAACTGAAAAACAAATCCCAGAGGTATTATGAACATGCTTGGAACATCATCTGATCAAAACACACTCATGATCAAGAAACTTCTCAGCCTCTTTTGAAAAAATATAATCAGCATTTTTGGAGGGGGCAGTCCTGTTTCATGCAAGTGAGCCACTGCTCACCCCCCCCCCAACAGGGGGCACGCCAACGTCAAGTACGACTCCTGTTGCCATGACTTGAATTAAGCAGAATGTCGACTACGCAGACAGCACTTCCTTACCAAATGGCTCTCGTCAATTAGTGCTGACTTCAAAATCAGAATCTGATTTATTCACTCACTGGAAGTTATCGTTTAGTCTTGACATGAACGAGGCTTCAATGCTGGAAAGCTGGCCACTTCTGCCAGTGCGTCACTACTGGTGTATGACTTCGTGTGATGGGTTAAAAGCAATTTGTGTGTTAAATTGCTGGTGACGGAAAGAATTCCAAATGCAGTTCTTCAATTTGAAGCAATGCTTTTAAAAAAACTTTCGTCACCTGCAATGGTTTCCACTGCACTGGCAGCAGAGCTCAGGTATGCCGTGTGCAATGCTCCCATTTCATGGTCATAGTAATTTTTTTTTCATCTATCTATGCCAGAGATGTAGTGAGAGGCAGAGCAATTAAATTCTCTTCAAGTAGATGGGAGACTGTACTATGAACCTGTTTCTCCACCTGTTGCCATTCATACAACAAAGTAATGGCTTCCTGCGCGTAAATCAGCTTTGTGTTCAGCTAAACAGTCCAAAATTCCACACTAAGTACATTTGTGAGTAAACTGAGACGAGATTATCATTTCAATGTATGTATACTTTGGGAGAGATTTGTTTGGTGTTTGTGTCCTGAGACTTTTCGAATGTAAAATATGCATCTTGACTCAAAAGTTGGCAAAGGCTTGTCTAGCGGTATGGCTGGAATATGCTAATTAGTTTCATGTCCCATGCACCAGTTACGGTTAAGCCAGAATTACTTTTGGTGTTCGGGCGAAAAATTTTACTGCTGGAGGAAGAGAGACTGGAATTAAAAAAAAAAAAAAAAAAAAAAGACAGAGCCTACTGATGTCACCAACCAAAGCGGTTGACCCAACCTTTTTTTTTTTTTTTTTACATACAAAAATGCCACCACTCACCTGTAATTCACTATCGGGAAATCCAAAACCTTTCATAACAGTAGGATGAGCACTGCGACATTGTGGCTTCATGGAAGCGATACCATTGTCGAAGGTCTTTGATCTATGTGATCTGGTTCTCTGTCGGCCACAGGATGAAATTGGCGGATGCTCATGACAGATCTGGCCACCAGCGGCGAGGGGAGACTTTACTCTGTGTAAAGGTGATGATAGGCATGCCATGGAGGGCTCCTCCTGGGTACTCCCCATCCTTGCAGGATCCTGGGAGTCCAACACGGGACGCCGGGTGCTCCTCATCCTCCTCAAGGTCGGAGAGGTGGAGATGCGGCCGGGAGCCTGCCGATCGAACTGGAAGAAAGGTGCGACCATGCCATCATGATCAAGCAAAGGTGGATGCCTCAGCTTGGAGTGTGTCCGTGTGAGAGCCATGTGCATCAACACTGGACTGCTGGTTTGACACTCCTTGTGCTCAAAAGGCTCCCGATCCGTTTGTGTCTCTGCATTGACCACACCTGTGGCGACCACTTCATTTTCCACCCATTCAATGTAACTCCAGTCCATCTTCTTTTCAACATTCTGGTCTTTGTCTTTCATCACATCATGCTTCATTGTAGACATTTTAGCCTCAAAGGCATCGTAGTGCAGCAGGTTTTCAGAAAGTGTGAGGTTTTGGGGCTTGGATGCTTTGCCTCCTCTGATTAAAAGGTCAGATCCTGCGGCATTCCAACACAATTCACGCCCAGACCTCTGGAGATCCTGGGGAATAAAAGTGAGGAGAAGGGGGGCGGTTACTCGAGTCAATGTGTAGGCAAAACAGAAACTGTCTTAAAGGCCTACTATTCTTCTGAACAGGACGTTGTAAGGGCACTGAACATTCAGAATTCTCGTGAGGCAACTTTTCATGGTTATTTTTACCAAGTCTTCTCAACGGTGGCAGAAGGCAACCAAGTGGATTACAATGTTTATTTCATCTGACGATGGCGCAACACAAAAAGAGTCTCAGTCCCAGACAGGGTTGCATGCTCGCAGTTAGTTCACATCCGTGAACGCTCCGCAGTGTGGTGTACTTGCAAGCTACGTCGAGTCAGTTTCACGGCTATTGTCGCCACATTATCATTGTTTCCTTTCAAACCGAGCCACCTGCTACGGGCTCCTCCACGAGGCAACAAAGGAACTCCGCGACGTCTTCTCAACGCGTCACTCACAATCCGCGCTAATGGACAATCGGCGCGCCCGGCACACGAGCTCATTACAGTGCAACCGAGTCAGGTGTACTTACATACGTGGAAACGTAACTGCCGAAACGTGAACCAAGTGGTCGCCGGCGGGTAAAGTGAGGAAACGTGACCGGGGAAGGGGGCGTCCTGATCGGCTGGTACAGCCTAAAAGCCGAAGCGGCCCGAATAAAATCCTCCCGAAGATGAAATCAAAGAAAAGGGAAATAAACAGTCTCGGTGCGTCTGTGGTCATCCGTCAAACGAAACGACAACATCAAAAATGAAGAAGCAGGGGCTCTTGATGACGTGAGGGCGTGGAGACTTAGGCAAGCCAAGTTGGTGTAAGGTGCGTCTGTACAGCGCCTGTATGGAAACATCGGGATATACCGTGAGCGCGCACGCGCTCTCATTCAAGTATAAACTTGATCGTTTGCTTCTTCAATCAAGTGCTAACCATAATCAGTTTTACTGGCACAACATTCCTTATTATTATTGAAAGTCTTTTTTTCAAGCGGTACCAGTGCCAGCTGCAGTGCAGCAGTTGAAACTCAAGAGTTGTTCTTAAAACAAGCGTTTAAAATGTTTTTGTTCACTGGTTTAAAATAGCGGACGAGTGTTTTTATTTCAAACACGTTCAGCAGGTGACTCACCTTGTTTGTGTACAATATGAACACTAGGGGGAGACGTAGGTCAAGTATTAAGACCTATTGCAATGCTGGACTTGAGAAGCTTCATATCCTAAAGTATAAATAGGATAAAACATCAATCAACATTGAGCCCCCACCCCTTCCCCCCTTTTGGCTTGTCCGGTTGGGAGTGACCACAACGCGTCATTCTTCTCCATCCAAGCCTTATTCTGCATCCTTCTCTGCAACATATGCCCTCACGTCTTTCTTCGCCACATCAGTCAAACTTCTCTTATCTCTTCCTCCAGCTCTGTTGCCTGTCAGCTCCATCCTTATTATCCTTCTACATACCCGTTATCTCTCCTCTGAACGTACCATCTAAGTCGGGTCTATCTAACTTTGTGTCCAACATATCTAACATCTAATGTGGTCACTCCCAAATAGAACTCTACCATTGTCAGCTCAGCCAAAAAAAAAAAAAAAGTTTATTTCATCAGTCCTACCATTTAGCAAAGTAGTTCCCCTTCATGATCACTGAATCATGCATCTGTACTATTTAGGCTGCATATATTAACACATCGGTGGCACGGTGGATGCCTGGTTAGCAGGTCCGCCTTACAGTGCAGAGGTGCAGGGGTCCGAGCTTCCTGTGTGGAGTTTGCATGTTCTCCCCATACTCGTGTGGTTTTTCTCCAGCTACTGGGGTTTCCTCCCCCATTGCAACAACATGCATGATTTATTTGACTTATTTATTCATTTTTGCAGCAACATACACCTGCTTAAAGAAAATGTCAATTATTGTCCCATAGTGCCCTCGAATTTCTTTTAAAAAATGCAAATTGTGTAAACAGGAAGCACAATTCCACAAAATTCAAACAATATTAGTTATGTAACCACACTTGCCCCACTAACACACAAAAGAGACTCCAGTTTGTGCGATTGCCTGTTGATTATGCCGACTTTTATTGTGTATGCCGATGCATTTACGATCACATCCACATTTTAAGAAGTGACAAGTGAAATATCAGGTAAAAATAAGAATTGTCCTCTAGCAAATGGTATAGATGAAATTATCTTTCACTTCCCCAAGTGCAAAAATCATACAACTTATGTCCCTTTGGCACTGACCAGAAATGTTGTGTTATGGTAAGTATATAGGACCCCAATGCAGAGACTAAGATGGGAGCAATTCAGAAAAAAGGTCGGTTTATTTTACTTCATGAATTGTCAGGCTCTGGAGATAGGAGGCTGGGTGGCACAGTGGTTCGAGCAGTCAGGTAAGGCAACGCAAGACCTAAACAGTAGGGGAGACAACAAGTTAGAATCCAAAAATAGACAAAGCACAAGAAAAAGTGGTCTTCCAAACAGGAGTGTTTACCAAGAATGATGCAATATTCCAACAGAGGTTTGGAGTGAGGGTTGGAGTCTTGCCTGTTGCTGCATTCCTTGCGGAGAATCAGGTGTGCTTCATTCTGCTGGAGGTGGAGCCACACACCTTGCAAAAACACAAGAAGGGAAACAGAACACCAACACTGAGCCCTAACACTACCTACCCCTTCGAAAGCCTCCACCCGCCATCCTATGGGTCTTGTCAGGGTGCAAAGCGTAAAAGTCATCCAGAAGACTAGGATCCAGACCCAGGGAGCGGATCACCCATGAGTAGTGATGGGTAAAATAAAGCCACTGGGGTATTGCTTCAGCTAAAGGTTCATCACTCAATGCTTCATTCACATTACTGTAGTTCTCTACTGACATCTGCTGTACAGTGGCAAGTAGAGCAGATAAAATCGCGAAATGCTTTTAACTATGATGAAAGAATGTGCCAAAATTAAAGCTTCATGAATCATTGAGGCTCTTCAGCAAATCGGTTTGCACATGATTTTATGCAATCTTGCTTCATTTGGTCTACGGTGCCATCAAGCAGTAAACTGTACGTATACTGTACGCAGAATGAAATAAAATTGTAGGTGTAACAGTGACTAAATGACCGTAAGTAGCAGTATTGCAATTTTAGCAGTAGGTTTCTAGTGCAAATATGGAATAAGGAATAAAAATAACAGTGAGAACAATGCTTATGAATAACCCTGAATAAAGAGGAGTTTAGAACTGTCATGATTAAAGGAAGCGTGAACCCATGACCTTCTGTTTGGAAGTGTTTTACTCCATCAACTGTGCCACAAGTAGGGGGATGTTTAAAAGGCTAGTAGTGGCAAGCTTGAGAAGGGAAATGCAAATGATGGACATTCTGACGGGGGCGCTCCAGCTTCAGTCTAACAACAGGTTAATGGTAATCACTATGAACCAATGAGGCGTCTATGGGCTTTGGGTGGCTCTCGATTTCCTGTGGAGGGAATGGCCGAATGAAGACAATGAGTAGGGCAAAACATGCTCCAAATTAACTCTGGACAGTTTTGACCAATCTATGTGAGGATTATGCAGGCCCAGCACGATGGGAAATGATCTGAGGGACTCAAATAAAGTGAGATGGTTTCATCATGACTGAGGACAATGGGACAGTACGGTCGGTAATAGTAGCCAATGACTTGCCATTCAGAGCAAAGATTGTCTTGGATTTGGGAAGGGCCCAAATGGGGATGTTGCACTGGAAAACAAAATAAGTCAATAAAATTGTCTTCACCCTCGAAGTCCACCAAGGCCACGAGTGCAAATGAGTTAAAATTGCATGTAACAGTATCTGGAAATTGAATTCTTTGGGTTGAGGTTTTAGAACAGATCCGTACATTTTACGGCCAAACATGGCCCGCGGCCTGGCTCTTTACTGTCTTGCGGCCCGGCTCTTACTGGCCCGCAAAGAGTTGCTTGGAAATTAAGAAAATAAGAGCTACTTTCAAAATTTTCTATAGTGCGTGGACTAAAACAGCAGTACTTTTACTTTGAAACCTATTTACAGTGTGCGTGCGTCGTTTACGTACAGGTACTCTCTCCGAGTCCATGTGATTAGCACAAGTCATTGTAATGGTAACCCTTCAAAATGTTCGCCCATGCCAAAAAACGAAAGGTGGACCCTGAATGCCGTGGTTACAAGAAAATATGAACCGTTAAGTATTTATTTACTGAAGTCAGTACAGACTTTTGACTCAGGCTGGGAAATATCCAAAGGTTTGCTAACGAAGCCAGAAAAACAACAAGGCCATTTTACCAAGCTACACGCAGCCCAGGAAGCAGCAACCAGGACCAGCTTTGTGATAGCCCACAAAATCGCAAAGAACTGTCAGCCATTTTGGGCGGGAGATTTTGTTTGAGTGCTTGATGACTCCCAGTGCTAATGTGGCTATCAAATCCAGCTACAGATCTTCTCTTAGTGATGATCATCTGTCTTGTGTGCTTCACGTTTCCACCTCAAACATTCAACCTGCTTTGATGCACTTGTTGAAGCTCAACAGAAGCTAGATTTATCTCACTGAACAAGAAAAAAAAAACACTGAAACATGTTTACTTAGATTATTTTCTGCATTGTTTGGCACTTGGGACAAAAATGTTGTGAGTTATGTTACATTATTCCTGGCACGCAAAGACATTGTGGTATTTTAAATGCAAAGTTAAAATCAGAAAGCATTGTAGTGTTAATGTTACTGAAAAGGAGTCACAAATGTTGCACAATTACCATTTATTGCATAATTTCACTGAATAGTTTTTTTTTTTGTAAAACAACTGCGGTTTCTCATTATCTACCAATAACACATACGCCTGTCACCTTCTGTCAAGAATGTCATTTACTTATTTCATAGTAGAAAGGGTTCTGTCAGTCGTCATCTGTACCTGTGGGTAAAAAACAAAAAAAGCAAAAAAGGACGTTTCGCTTCTCTCACAGAAGCTTCGTCAGCGGTAGACAACCCTGAAGTCTCCGTGAAGACTCCGGGAAGTTGCTCTGCGCTTTCATAGTAGAAATAAAATTGATAACCGGACTAGATTTCAAACTTTTGGCCCCGCCCCCCACAATATTTTCTGCTTCTCAGTTGTTCCCCAGGGAAAAATAATTGCCCATCCCTGGTTCAGGAGTACGGGGCACCGACACCCCTCTGATGGGTGAGGATCCCTGCTCAATGAGGTAGGGGCTCTAGTAAAGCCCCAATCCCACTGAGTGGCGAACAATTGCGAGTGTTTTTGTTTTCAAAGATAGCATATGTTGCATTCTCGTCAGGGTTCTTTAATGTAGCAAATGTTTTGAATATGTTCAACAATTTATTGTGAAAATAAAACTCACTAAAAGTGTTGGCAAACGTTCGGTGAACTTTTTGTGAATCGTGACCTTGGACGGAATCTGACGTGACACGCATTTTTCTAATTTCGCCATTAGCCGCAATTGTTCGCCTCTCAGTAGAAAAGGGTAGACTCATCAAGTTGATGTGACTTTGAGAGTGCCCAGTACAAAAGGGTGGAGCTTCCAATGTGGAGTAAAAATAATCTGATTGGCAAATACGTTCAAACGTACTTGCAAGTACATTCAAACATATGTTACATAAATTCTAACGTAAGTTCATTCAAACGTTCTCGCAAATACGTTCAAACGTACTTGTAGGCTAAATGCTACAAACATAGCCTTTTCTCATAATTCCACAGGGTATTGACTTGTGCATACATTAAGGGAAAATAATTCTCCATATATAATCATACACTGCAACCAATTCAGCCAATTAAGATAAATAATGATTCCTTCCTTAATTTGGGAACATACTAGTATTGGTTTGATTACAAAAGGTTTAAATCCGTTTCTTCATTCCCCCTGAATGCCACTGCGTTTTTTGCATGCAGAAGTCAATATCCCATGGCATTATGGGAAATGTGAAACGTAAATCAAGCACTGCAGACATAATAAAATCATAAAATTACAAATGAACAATGTTTACTCATTTAACTTGTGAACGTATTGGCATAGTGTAGGCCAAATGCTTGAAAAAAACAACTACATCTGTAGGAATGCATTTAGTCTACAAGTACGTTCGAACGTTTTTGCGAGTACATTCGGACGTAGTTGCCAGTCATAATATTTTTATTATAATTACACATTGGCAGCTTCGGGCTTCCGTACACGTGCGCCCTCACTTAAATCTTGCCCTAGGGAGTCGTCCACATTGCTCACAGCAAAAGCCGGCCCTTGCAACAAGGCGTATTGTAGTGAGGGCCTGCTTGGCTGTAAAGGAGCACTGAGCGGAATTTGCTCAGCGGCCTGACAGCAGCAAGTCTCCGCCCCCTTGAAGTGGATGTGAAAAGCAGATCTCTGCCACTCTGACATACAGGAAGAAGTTCAATAAGCTTGACAGAAGACGCCACTTCTTTCAAGAAGTTCGTGTGAAATACAAATACACGTCCTTTGCGCTACTTGAATCGGCCCACTGATGAAGTCGAACATGAAGAGGGAAAGTTGATGATCTGGACGAGCGCCGCAACGCGTGGATTACTTCAAGCAAGACATGGGGGCAATGGAGGAGGCAGGACGAGTTTGAAGCAGATCTTCACGTCTCCAAAATGTCAGAGCACAGATCCAGTTTCCTTCACATTGGAGACATCGTGTCTCTCTACGCGGAAGGCTCGGTGAACGGCTTCATCAGCACTTTAGGGTACGTCGCTCCTCACCGTTCCACGTCTCTTTCAAACTAAGCAATCTGGACGAAGAACTCTTCCACGTGTGTGTGTGTGTGTGTGTGTGTGTGTGTGTGTGCGTGTGTGTGTGTGTGTGTGTGTGTGTGTGTGTGCGCGCGTGCGTGCGTGCGTGCGTGTGTGTCGCTCTCTCTGTTTCCCTCACAAGCTAAAATCACACAATCATGTAAATGGAACTCTGCAGCCGCTTCCCGTCCAATACTTGACGCAAAAGTAACTGGTATGCAAAGCAGGAAGACAAGTGCAAACGATTACGATCGACTTTCTTTTTCTTTTTGGTTGTGTCCCACTGAGGAGGAAGTGGCGCTTGTTCGTGCCATGCTGCTTACGTGCCACAAAATTTCCCACTTAAGTGAAACCGCGATCAACAGTAGTCAACTCAACAATGCAGGGTGGAGACTCATGACACTGTCCTGGTGGCGTTTTAAAAATGAAGGCATTTTTGCTTGTGCACTGCAGTGCTATTTTTGTAATCTAAAAATAGTGGACTGTCAATCACTTAACAGGAAATTACACCCAACATAAAACGTAAAAAATAACTTGATAAGAGGGATCGACAAGTACCGATCCAAGGTATCGTTTTTCGGCCGATAACGGTCTTAATACAGGGTATTGGGTACTGAAGAAGGATGCCGATACCATCCACCAATCTCCATCCATCCTAATCTGTTTTTCCTCACGAGGGTCGTGGGCATGCTGGAGCCTATCCCAGCTGTCTTTAGGGAGTAGGGAAGGTACACCCTGAACCGCTTTCACTAGTTAATTGCGTGCAGGTTCTTTAAAAGTCCTTCTGGAACAAATTCCACAAATTTTTGTGAATGGAAGCGCCTTTGCATTATTTTGGGTACATACCTGGAAGGCACAATTGTTTTTGATCTTAATTTTACTTTTTACCTTGACCATGACACATGACGCAGATTTTTACATTTTTTATTTGCCCTTCATAATAGTACATGCCTCTTTGTGAAAATCATTGCACCATGACAATGCACATTTTGGTACTGATTAATCCATCCATTTTCTTATCTGCTTATCCTCATGATGGTCACGGGCGTGCTGCAGCCTATCCCAGCTGTGTTTGGGCAGTAGGCAAGGTACACCCTGAACTCGTTGCCAGCCAATTGCAGGGCACACATAAACAACCATCGTGCTCACAATCACACCTAGGGACAATTTAGACTGTCCCACGCAGAACGTGCTGTGAGGTGGACGTCCTAACCATTTGTCCACCGTGGCACCAGCCACCAATACTTAAGACAAAAACAAATCTGATATCGAACAAGTCTTCCTTGCTCGTAGTTGGTGCTAAACTTTGGCCATTTGACACCTCAGTGAATCATCAAATCTGTCAGAAAGACAAAGGTCTTTGCTCAAAATGATCTGTTATTGTACAAATTGAATTTTATATTTCATAAGTACAAGAGAACAGGTGTCAAACTCAGGACCCGGGGGCCAGATCCAGCCCAGCACATCATTTTATGTCGCCGACCAAAGCGAATTATGTGCATCAATGTAGTTTCTTTCTAAAATACCAAAATTGCAAATTGTCGTCACTTTAAAAAAAATTGAGATATTGCAAGCTTTTTTTTTTTTTTGTAACCAAACGCCCCTTTTAAAATAAGTGCAATCATATTTGAAACAAACAGATATTTAGTTTCTTAATCGTAACCTTCCTCTGAAACCCACAAACCAAAAGTAGTTTGCCCACCTGTATTGGTGGTATCGATATTGGGATCAGGATCAGCGAGCGATACCCAAGAGTGAATACTTGTACTGGTATGTGTATGTTAAAAAAAAAAAAAAAGTAGTATCGAATTTATCTACTTAATATCAAATAGTGCAAACATGATATGAGTATGTCTATGGAAGATTTCAATATTCTTGTTTAGCACTATTTTCTCCAACACGTTTTGAGTCAAGGCACACATTAATGCAAAGAAAAACTTCAGGGCACACCACCACACAAAACCATGACAAAATATATCCTGAAATAAATGGCCATCTCGTCTCAATCGACTCCAAAATGTACAATGTGAAGTCTACGTCGATTCAGCTAAACACAACCTCTTGTTCCGTTGTATGAATGCAACAGGTTGAAACACAGGTCACTTGTACTTTCTGCCATCCAGTGGAAGATCATTTGTTTGTGTAGCACGTTCCGATACTGCAGGGCTCACCAACTCCGGGTCTCGAGGATCACTCTGCTGCATGTTTTAGACGTCTCCCTCCTCCAACACAACTGATCAAAATGATCAGGATCGCTCTTGAGGTTCTGCAGGGCTCACGGATCAGCTGATCATTTGAATCAGGTGTGTTGATGGAGGGAAACATCTCAAACATGCAGAATAGGGGCCCTCGGAGGACAGGAGTTGGTGGCCCCTGCTGTACAGTATGTTACTGGCATACATAGATAAACTAAAATACATAATTTGTCGTTAAAAAAAGAAGAAATACATATATATATTCTGATCAATTTGGACCACATACGCCGTGATAACCTTTTTGCCGCTCTGCCTTCTCTCCTGCAAATCAACATTGTGCGGGCAACAGCCATCTGTAAAAATATTTTTGCTCAGTCTAACCCAAAGAAACGCGTTTGTGGTTTCTCATCATGAGAGTACAGCACTACCATGAGTACAAAAGCAGAGTTGAAATTCAATATTTGGCATTTGTAACTAAGGTGAGAGAAGAATAAGGCGGAAGACACTAACAGGTAGCTTTAGTTTGTTGGCCATTTCTCAGTTGTTCTGTTCTATTGAACCCAGGTCACACTTGAGAAAATACAAACATGAATACTTAATGGTTAAGCAATCTTTATCGTCCTGTTACTTGTGTTGTACTTTAGATCTCTCAGTCTAATGAACTGCCAGTATTTTATAGGTTGGTTACCTGGCCAACCTAAATCATGGGTTACCAACATGATGCCTGCAGGTTTATGTAACTCCCAGGGCAACATGAATGGTTCACCAGTGATGGGACGTCGTGTTGTCCTATGAACATTTGAAAATGTAAACTCTTGCATTGATTAAAAAAAAAAAAAAAATCACAGTAAAGTTTTCTTTCCATATTGGTATTTATCTGTTTCCTAACTGTTAAATCGTTTTTGATAATTATTGTGGAAAATCATGTACATGAGCAGTGTCTTCACCGGTCCTAGATGAATTTCTGTATGTTGTGGAAATAAACATACGCCAACAGCAATTCGTTTGGCTGCACTATAGCCGACCCTGAATTGAAAGCATTTCAGCGTGCCCCCGTGCTATTTGAATCCTGCAAAACAAGCACGATCAACTGGCTGAGGAATGACTTTGCCCCACCCTCTCTTTCTCAATATTGGTCTTACGGTTTGGGACACTTTGTTCCTCAAAAGTTTTTAAAACCAGATTTTCTAGACATTTTGTTCTTCTTTTAATTTCAAAATGCCAAAGAGGAACCATATTTCTAATTTGGATAAACATGCAGAATAGGGGCCCTCGGAGGACAGGAGTTGGTGGCCCCTGCTGTACAGTATGTTACTGGCATACATAGATAAACTAAAATACATAATTTGTCGTTAAAAAAAGAAGAAATACATATATATATTCTGATCAATTTGGACCACATACGCCGTGATAACCTTTTTGCCGCTCTGCCTTCTCTCCTGCAAATCAACATTGTGCGGGCAACAGCCATCTGTAAAAATATTTTTGCTCAGTCTAACCCAAAGAAACGCGTTTGTGGTTTCTCATCATGAGAGTACAGCACTACCATGAGTACAAAAGCAGAGTTGAAATTCAATATTTGGCATTTGTAACTAAGGTGAGAGAAGAATAAGGCGGAAGACACTAACAGGTAGCTTTAGTTTGTTGGCCATTTCTCAGTTGTTCTGTTCTATTGAACCCAGGTCACACTTGAGAAAATACAAACATGAATACTTAATGGTTAAGCAATCTTTATCGTCCTGTTACTTGTGTTGTACTTTAGATCTCTCAGTCTAATGAACTGCCAGTATTTTATAGGTTGGTTACCTGGCCAACCTAAATCATGGGTTACCAACATGATGCCTGCAGGTTTATGTAACTCCCAGGGCAACATGAATGGTTCACCAGTGATGGGACGTCGTGTTGTCCTATGAACATTTGAAAATGTAAACTCTTGCATTGATTAAAAAAAAAAAAAAAATCACAGTAAAGTTTTCTTTCCATATTGGTATTTATCTGTTTCCTAACTGTTAAATCGTTTTTGATAATTATTGTGGAAAATCATGTACATGAGCAGTGTCTTCACCGGTCCTAGATGAATTTCTGTATGTTGTGGAAATAAACATACGCCAACAGCAATTCGTTTGGCTGCACTATAGCCGACCCTGAATTGAAAGCATTTCAGCGTGCCCCCGTGCTATTTGAATCCTGCAAAACAAGCACGATCAACTGGCTGAGGAATGACTTTGCCCCACCCTCTCTTTCTCAATATTGGTCTTACGGTTTGGGACACTTTGTTCCTCAAAAGTTTTTAAAACCAGATTTTCTAGACATTTTGTTCTTCTTTTAATTTCAAAATGCCAAAGAGGAACCATATTTCTAATTTGGATCTTTAAAAAAAAAAAAGGGAAATCCCTTCTTAACTATTTAATTCCACACTCTGGAATTTCACAGAAAAGCTCCTAAAACTGAATAGCACCTGTGTTGATACAAATGCAAGGAGACAAATAGGGACAGTAAATATCAAAGTGTCCATGATGTGATTGTATGGCGAGGCAGTAAAATAACTTCGACAAGGAGCGCTCTTAACCTCTTGAGAGATTACCTCTAGGCAAAGAGCCCAACCCCTGTGAGCACACTTTTAGTTGAGCTGGGCGTAGTGTCTTTGTTTGCATCGGTTAACATCAAATCTCTTCACCACTCACACGCCTTTTATATTCCCAACAACCAGAAGTCAGAAGACATTTCAGGTTATTCCAAGTTCACCTGGGCCGTCCAGATTCATCGACACTATGACGTACTGTGATGTTGTGATAACGTCCTAAAAAAGTCTGAACGGTGAAACGTGTACGGTTGAAACACAATTCCGGAACCCTGGTCGACGTGACAATTGACCACAATAAGAGTGCTCAAGGTTGATGGAAGTTTAAATGCATACTTTTCCAGAATGGTTTGCTCAGAAAGTTTTGGTCTGAATTGAAAGATCTCAAAGGCATTAGCGGTTCCAGTCTTTTTTTTTCTTCTTCTTCTTCTTTTGCTGCACGGTGTGTTTACAGTCTTCTAAGTTTCTATGTCACCAGCATGCAGGAGCAGGCATGTGTTGTGTAAAATATCCTCCACGGATAACGTTTCTTCTCCCGCCTTTTCCTCATTCTGTTCTCTCGTCTCTATCTTGTTGTTTCAGTGTGTTTAACACCGTCTCCGGGGCTATAATTAGCTCTTGTGTGTCCAGCCTGGTTGCTTTATCTGTGGTTCATGGTTAACCCACTTACTGAGAAAACCGGACACACAGAGCGAGTGTGTTCGTCAAAGCTCCTCCTTTGTTGATTGGCGTTACTTATTCATGAGCTTTGAGCACTTTCTTGTTCACCTGTCTTGCACTGTGTGATTTCGCGTGTTGGCTTCAAGTTTCGCTCAATCTCATCCTAATAGGGACTTTTTAGGAAATAGAGCTCAGGCTATGGATTGACAGTGACCAACAAAGGGCTGGGCTTGTTTAAGCAGTTACCAGCGTTGCATGAATCGGGTGATTGTGCATTGCATTACAGCAGGATGAATGGATTTGCTTGTGTTTTTCCGCCTTTTGTGTATTAGTATTGAATTGAGTGTAAAGAGTAATGCGGCAATAAAACTGTCAACATCCACTGACCACAACTTCACAATGTAATGACCTCCATCCAAGTAGAGAATGGCATAATCATCTACTAAGAGACTGTGAAAGAATTCAGTTCATTGTATGGAATTGATTGCTGATTAATCGTGGGTTACTTCAGTCTTAACTTGTTTGCTGTGTAAAGAACAACATAAGCTGAGCTACATCCAAGCAGACCTCTGTTATTGTAGAACTTGTCAAGGGAGCATTAGTCTCACATCTACATTCTATATTACCTTTAGCGATCAAGGAAATCTGGTCAAATGGACACCACTAATTATGGTGCATGAGTTAAGTGTTTGTTTTTTTTTTTTTGTTTGTTTGTTTTTTGTTTTTTTTTTTGTCCGATATGGTATATTTAGTTTGGGTTTAGAACTGCAGTTCATCAAACTGAGTGGCGTTGTTAACATGCGTACGATATTAATTTAGCAAGAATGACTGAATACTGAAAAAAAAAAAAGGAAACAAAAACAACACAGCTCTCTGCATGATGCAGTGCAGTTGTACTATGAACACAATAATATTGAACTCAACATATCTATCTATCTATCTATCTATCCATATGTATATGTATATCCATCCAGTTTCTGATCTGCTTATCCTCACAAAGGTTGCGGGGCGTGCTGGAGCCGATCCTCCCAGCTGTCTTTGGGCAGTAGGCGGGGGACATCCTGGCCCGGTTGCCAGCCAATCGCAGGGCACACAGAGACAAACAACTATCTGCACTCACACTCACACCTAGGGACAATTTTGACTGTTCAATCAGCCTGCCATGCATGTTTTTGGAATGTGGGAGGAAATTGGAGTACCCGGAGAAAACCCACGCAGGCCATTTAAACTCCACACAGGGAGGCCGGAGCTGGAATTGAACCTGGCACCTCTGCACTGTGAGGTCGATGCGCTAACCACTGGCCCACTGGGCCGCCTTGTATATGTGTGTGTATGTATGTGTGTGTGTGTGTGTGTGTGTGTGTATAGTATATATATCTATATCTATATCTATCTATCTATCTATATATATATCTATATATATATCTATATATATCTATATATATATATATAGATATATATATACATTTTTTTTTCATGCATACATTTTCGACCATTGACACAGCCCATGCGCTTGATTCCGTTTGTGCAGTAGTAGCTACAATTGTAGCCCAGTGAGTGCAAGTCAATAATGTTGAAGCATGCACATTAACTGGAAAAAAAAAAAAACATGGTCTCTAATCAACACTGCACAGTTTCCCTTTGCGGCAACATCCCACTGGTGCTCACTTTCGTAGCCTTCAATGGCTTCATCTTGAATAAGACAACCAAGAACTATGCACACACTTGATAACAGAGAGCAAAAGTGTGTCAACACCAGGCACACACACATTCATGGCTAGTGCACATTATCAGCTACAAGGACAACATGTAATGTTGTTGATTGCACTTGTGTTGCTCTTTTGTGCAGTCTTGTCGACGACAGGTGCGTCGTCCAGCCTGATGCGGGGGAATTGGCAAACCCTCCCAAAAAATTCAGAGGTATGTGCAATAGGCCGCGCACGCAAAAAGCAGTCGAGGCCAACCAAGCGCCTCACCGAGGGCTTTTTGTGTGCTCCGGTGACGTTTTGTTGTGTTTAACTTACTCTGCTTGGTAAATAAACATGTCCTCCAACTCAAGTGCATTTCTGCCTTAATCACAGGCTGACTCATGGAGGTAATACTACCGTGCCTGACTGCTTTGTTCGTCTTCATTTCAGATTGCCTCTTCAAGGTGTGTCCCATGAACAGGTACTCTGCCCAGAAGCAATTCTGGAAGGCGAAACAAGGAAAACAAGGGAGCAACACGCAGGCAGACCTATTCAAGAAGTTACAGGTTTAACTTTATCCAGCCCACATCAGCCGTCATGCATTAACACCTTCCTTGCATACCTTATAAAAAAAAAAAAAATTGGTGACTGTTTTTGCTTCCCAGCATGCAGCAGAGCTTGAGCAGAAGCAGAATGAGTCCGAAAATAAGAAGCTCCTCGGAGAAGTTGTTAAATACAGTAATGTTGTACAGGTACGGCCGATCTGCACACTTGTGTCGTCTGGTTGTCCTCACTGCAGAGCCGTGTTGTGTTTGTTCCGCTTATTACGGCTTGTCCCTGTAGTTGTAATCGCCTCCAGTAATCATTCCTCACGTATGTCAGTAAATTGATTTAATAAGGCAGGTTGTGCTTCAACCGTTTCTCGATGCAAGTAAGATCCGCTGTTATATTACCAATCTGTGAACGTGCCCAATTTTTGGCTCTCAGCTCCTGCACATCAAGAGTAACAAGTACTTGACAGTGAACAAGCGTCTCCCTGCCTTGCTGGAAAAAAATGCCATGCGAGTTTCTCTGGACCCAGCTGGGAACGAGGGCTCCTGGTTCTACATTCAGCCTTTCTGGAAGCTGCGCAGTGAAGGAGACAACGTAGGTACCCTTTTGCTTGCGCTTGTCACTTCTGCCGACACTAACAATGCGCCAAAATGGAAACTCCCTTCTCGATTGTTTGTCCAGTTTCAGGAACTTTTCTGATTTTGTCCCTCTTCTCTGGCTTTAGCAACCTGTGGTTGAAGGTATCGCTCTTGATTGTGCATGACCATTGTTAGTGGCTGAGATTAAGAAGCATGGTTAGACAGGCTTTCCCGCTCCTCTAATCCCGATGTCTTCAGTTTTGCTACACTTTGTTGTAAATACTCCAGTGCACCATTGAAAATTTCATGGTTGCAAAATTGTGCATTCGAAACCACAGTGTGCTTAAGAGTAGATAGCATGCCATTCAGTTATACTGCCCTAATAAAAAAAAAAAATTAAAAAAAAAACGTGTCACACAGAATGGAATGATTTGAAAATCCCGGTAAACTCCTCCTCCTCTAAATACAGTATATGAATAAGCTATTTTTTCAATGCAAAAACACTGTAGTTGGCAAAGGCTGCATCGTCCGTGACTCTGAACAGGGTTATGGATTGATGGACAAATGCAATGTTGTGGATACTAAATAATAATACCGTATTGGCCCGAATATAAGACAGTGTTTTTTACATTGAAATAAGACTGAAAAAGTGGGGGTCATCTTATATTCGGGGTCTAGACATTATACCCATTCACGACGCTAGATGGCGCCAGATATCATTGAAGCGAATGCTGAACTTGACTCCCCAGGCCAAAGTGAACCCCTGCAACGAAGAATAAAAATAAAAATAGCGGTAGCACGAAGAAGAAAAATGAAAAATAGTGGTAAGAAGGAAAAGAGAAGAAAATAATAGAAGAGATAACAGAAAATGGAGAAACGTAGTGACAATCTTGAGAAAAGTGGGTCGAAGATCGGCCAGGTTAACCGGCAGCTGAGGAGAAGTTATGATGTAATTTACATTTCAAAAACCAGAAGCCATTCATTTACGAATGTGATTGCACTTTAGATTTGAATGAGGCAAAATAACATGCTTTTTCTCTCAAATATATTGTTATAATCATTTGTTTCAGATGTACTGTAATTATTTTCTGTATAAAAATTAATTTGGTGTTCAAAAAGTATTTTTTTCAAACTTGAGTCTTCAAAAAGAGGGGTCGTCTTATGATCAGGGCCGTCTTATATTCGGGCCAATACGGTAATAATAATAATAATAATAATAATGGTATCATTGATATGTTATCATGCACAGGACTCTGTCAGAGAATTTGAGAACGAAAAAATAAGGTTGAAAATAGTATTACAAATTAGTTACAGTTTGCCCGTAAAATTCTGAACTTAAAAGAATGTACATGATCCACAATCTAAATTACTGTTAAATAATTCTGATCATGTATATTACGATGCTATGTTATCCTATATTGGAATTCGTACGTCGTTTATCATGCAGAGTGTGATTATTCATACGGTAAACGGAGGACGATTTGCTGTTTGTTTACCCTTACCTATGTATGTATTTATTGCTTGGTGACGGAGAGCATGAGCTATGAGACCTTGTACGCTGCACTCATGCCAGCTCACCGTGGCAGACGTGCTTGTACATGCTGATATCCTATTTGCAGTGAGCATGTTTTCAATTCACCCTGTTGCACACAACACCTCCAAAATGGGATTGGGAGGTTCAGACCTTTTGCATGGAGAGTAATTGGTGGTCAATATCCGTTGTGATGTTTAAGCAACAAATGTCTCCAACTTGATTTCAAGGTGGTGGTTGGAGACAAGGTGGTGCTGATGCCGGTGAACGCAGGGCAGCCTCTTCATGCCAGTAATATTGAGCTCCTCGACAACGCTGGCTGCAAAGAGGTGGGACCACTCGTACATGAACTTTGTAAGTTTCGCTGGTTCACCCGTCTCCCTGCCCCCGCTTCATGTTGCAGGTTAATGCCGTCAGCTGCAACACGAGCTGGAAGGTCACATTGTTCATGAAGTTTAGCGACTACAAGGAAGACATCCTGAAAGGGGTTTGTTCAATTGCTGCCATTTGTGTGGAATTTTTAGTGAATCTGTTTGAACTGGCGGGGTGAACGCAAGCGTGCTCTGCCATGCTTATGTGTCTTCTCCCAGGGAGATGTGGTGAGGCTCTTCCACGCAGAGCAGGAGAAGTTTCTGACCTGTGACGACTACAAGAAAAAGCAGCATGTCTTCCTCCGTACCACACTACGACAGTCCGCCACCTCTGCCACCAGCTCCAAAGCTCTCTGGGAAGTTGAGGTAAAACATGAAATGATTACCTTTTTTTTTTTTTTTTTTTTTTTTAAACATGGTTCAGTGTTCCTCTGACTTGTGCGGACAGCTAATAATTTAAGTCGCTTTTGTAGCTTTATAAAGAAGCTCAAATTAATTGCTTACCACCATTTATTTCTCTGAATGCCTTTTCAATTCCATCTTAACTTGTGGTGAAAATTCCTCACTATCAGGTTCAACTTATTTGCCACAATTGACTTTATTCCCAACACTAGTTGCTGATGTGAAATACGCTGGTGTTTCACTTACGAATGCAAAATGACTGTCAGTGTGTCATTCTAAGGAGAGAGAGAGAGAGAGAGAGAGAGAGAGAGAGAGAGAGAGAGAGAGAGAGAGAGAGAGAGAGAGAGAGAGAGAGGGTTTACTCAGTGGCATTCAGAGCAAACTGGAATTTAAATACAACCGTATTTCCACCAGGTTGAAATTCCTCAGGGCCTGAGGAATTTCAACATGAAGTTGGCCTGTGGCTCAGGCCAACTTCATGCAACAACAAAAGTCATTCTCAATGGAAAAAAATGTGATCTTTCTTTGTGCATTTCCTCATGTTTCAGTTTATTTATTCATTTATTTGTGGGTTTTTATACCCGGTATCTCTTCCCAGGTCGTTCACTATGACCCCTGCAGAGGTGGGGCTGGCCAGTGGAACAGTTTGTTCCGCTTCAAGCACCTCGCTACTGGCAATTACCTCGCAGCTGAGGTGAGGCCTTTTCAACATAACATGCTGATACTTTTTTCGAATGCAGCAAAGCTTCCTTACTTTAGAGATCACGATCTGTATAATTACACACAACTAATCTATCATTTCTTTTTATTGTATTGCATTGTATTATTCACGTTTTGACTATTGTGATGCAATGCTGCACAAATGAGTGAATAAGCACACTTGAGTAGGATGATACTGTGCTGTAGGTGGCAGTCTTTCCTTTGATGAAGGCAGCGTCAGGCCTTTACTGCAGTTTTGATTGGCTGATGGATAGGACCGACCAAGCTTTGATGAGAAAATTCTTCCTTTGAAGTCACTTTTCGTTTTTCTTTCTCTGCAGGAAAACCCTGAATTCAAAGTCAAAACATTGGAGCCCAAGGGAGAGGTGAGTTGGTCTCATGACGACTTTGAGCTAAATGGCATCCTGGGAATCTCATCCTTGCACCAACACATACAGTAGTATCACTTCATAATTTATGCGCAAGAAGGTGAGCCACTTTTTAGATCATGTCACGCCATGAAATGAGTGAGACCGCAAGCGAATGAGTCATGAGAAGGAGTTGTTTGTCTTAACTCCATGCCCCCATCGGTCTCGTTATGCAATTTTGCAAGCTCTCTTCGACTCACAACTCACCGAACACAGACGCACACACACGCATGCCTACTCCTATTCTATATCTAGATTCTCAAGCCCCCAAGCTACCTTGCACATTTGTATTCAGGCAGTGAGCAAACACACAATCTGTCTCACCCTCACACGCTTTCTTATGCCCACGCTGAATTTCAGACACACAGGGGGCTCCTTACATAACGTCTGGGCTGTGTGGAGGGGGTGAGGGGCGCTCTGTGAAATGGGTGGGAAGGTAGAAGACGTGCTGTCTGCTCCGCTCCGCTCGTCTGTGTTAAGCTGCTGGGGTGAGTCACCAGTGGACCGGTGGAGGGGCAGTTGTGGGGCGGGGGCTGGGGTGGTGGGGGGTTATCGAAGCTGAGGTGCGAAGGCACCACGAGGGGGCTTCCGAGTGACATGCAAAGTGGACCGGTGGAGGGGCGGTTGTGGGGCGGGGGCTGGGGTGGTGGGGGGTTATCGAAGCTGAGGTGCGAAGGCACCACGAGGGAGCTTCCGAGTGACATGCAAAAAAAAAAAAAAAAAAAACAGTAGGCGTAATGAACTCATTCACTTCTGCACGCTAATGCTGCAGTATACGCCACTTTACAGACGGCATTGCCGCCTTCCTAAAACAATAAACTAAATATTTTTTAAACTTTATTTTTGTCAAGGATACATGCAAAACTCAATCAAATACTGAATAAATTTATGTTTATTAATAATTTCATTTATGGGGTGGAATTGAATCATCTGTTTAACTCAGGATGTACCTGATATTAGGAGAGGCTAGCATCCTGAGGAGGTGTTATTGGCAAAAAAAATATCTAGTTTTGTGAAAATATAACCTCGGCCATTGTTTTAAGAGGGTGACAATACTGTCATCATAGCCTTGCAAACCTGTTCGACTAAGAGAGCTGTCAATTCAGTTCAGATGACATCTGTCGAATTTAAACCATCAGATTTGGATGTGGCTTCATTTATCAGCAGTTAACCGTGTTTGATGACTGAAGTGAAGGTGAGACATGTCTGACATATGCCACTAAAATTTCACCTGGAGGCATTCAACAATGTGCATCGCACCAAAAGGTAATTTGGCCACACGGGGGCCTCACATGGGGCATCCGCTTTTGATGAACAAATTATTCATGATGACTTGGTGGTGGATGATGAGACATGTTTGCATTAAATGGAGTGTGGAAACCCAGGGCCCACTGTGCAGTACCTAACAGTTGCCGTCCCAAATTTCTAGTTAATTCCCATTTCTTGTTAATTGCCATGCTAAGTCTCAAACTTCTCCAGAGATCCAAAAATCGTTTCCATGTGAAGTTTCTAGAAACCGCACCAGGGATTTTCTGAGTTCTGACCTTTTGAAACCAGAGAGACATGCAGTCTTTTTAAAGAAAGAATGGAGCATTTGTAACGAATGAAAATTTTAGCTTGGGTCAATCAGACAATTTCTTCAGAATCTACCACAATAAAGTGACTGCCTTAAGTAATGTATGACACCCTGTAGTCAGGAGAGAAAACAAAACAAAAATATTCTGATCTCAGTGTATGTATGAATGTAAATGTCCACTTTTTGACCAGTTTCTCACGTATGTACAGTGAAAAATGTCCGTAACATGCCCATCGGCACACGATTAAAAATATGAACTATACAATACAATACTAGAATAAACTAAGACAGCATTCTATTATTTTTGAGGAGAAGAGGGGAAAAATTATGTCATTTTACCAAAATTTAATCATGGGCAACTAATCTACATGGTCACGTGAAATACTTTTTTTTTTTTCAGTTATATAATAGTACACAAAATGCAGACCTTGCCTTACAGTCCATGTACACCAATATGTCTGTCCTCCGGATATTTTTGTTTGTTGCTGTAGGATGAGACGGACTCTGTATATTGCAAGAGAAAGCATCAGGCAGCAGACAAGATTGCTTTTACACTGGTTTCTGTCAAACAAGGCAATGACATCGCCTCTCTCTTTGAGCTGGATGCCACCACGCTGCAGCGCGCTGACTGTTTGGTGCCCAGGTCAGTATTGGACAAGTGACATTTACTTGAGTCGTATTCAGGAGAGGAAAGTAATGTAATGGATAATAAAACTACATTTAATTTATAATGCACTTTTATGAAAAATAAAGCTGTATTTCCCTGAGTACAGAGTGCCTAAAAGTGTCATGGGGGAAAAAAATATATATGTTTCTCCTTGGGACGAGAAAAGTTTCTCATCCTGACGAGAAAGTAGTGTATGTGTTACAAGCCAGTCTGAGCATTGTTTTAAAATGTTCAACATTTGTATTTAGGATTAGTAAAGTCCCATTGTCACTTGAATAAATGTAAAGAAATTGTGACCTTGGTCTTATTGAAATGATCAGTGTTTGTGAAGGGGGATTGCACCCTGCATGATATGGCAGAAATTTTGGATTAAATCTAGTTATGCTAAACATAATTATGGAGCAAGATGTTTTCCAACTCCATTTAAGTCCCATTAAAAATTCAGCAAATTTTCAAAGCCTTGTTAGATGTGAGACTTCACCGTCCCAGATGTTTCACAGAAACTCTTATGTGAGGCTGAGGCACCTGTGCACCAACACATGGGTGACCAGCACCAATGTGCCCATTGACGCAGAAGAGGAGCGTCCAGTCATGCTCAAGGTTTGCCCAGCGACAGGATGCTCACACAATTACTCTAAGTTCAACTCAAATAAATGACGTAGGCATTTCCTCTGGCGGTCACAATAGATTGGCACCTGTTCCACTAAAGAGGATAAGGAAGCTTTTGCGATTGTATCCGTTCCCCTGTCCGAAGTGAGAGACTTGGATTATGCCAACGATGCCAGCAAGGTCCTTGAGGCTACCGTGAGGAAGCTTCAATATGGCAACATTGCTCAAAATGAGAGAAGGTAAAGTCAAGTCGGGTCACAAACTTGGCTTTTCTGAGTTCAAAGTTTTTATATACCCCAACATTGTTTGCAGGTTTGTGACTAAGCTGCTGGAAGACCTGGTTTTCTTTGTATGTGTGGTTCCAAACAATGGCCAGGAGGTTCTGTCCGTGGTCACTTCTACACCCAACCGAGAGAGGCAGAAACTGATGAGAGAACAAAACATCCTCGCTCAGGTCAGCACGTATATCTCAATAGTTTCCCTCACACGCACGCACGCACGCACGCACACGCACACACACACACACACACACTTTCGCAAACATGCACGTTTAAAATGTGTCTGTGGGAAGTACTAGTAGTAGTTTGCAGTGGTACAAACGCCACAATGCGGCTTCATATTGCATTTTTCAATGGCTGATTTACAGTCCGATACATGGTTAGTCGCTTAATTCCAAAATCTCCTCAGGGCAAAAAAAAAAACAACAAATAGAATAAAAATTATGTCCACCAGATCCAGAACTCCCCCCTCCCCCTTCTTCACAATAAATAGGAAAGATACAGAATAAACTCACGATGACAGGATTGCCCAATCAGTTGATCGTGGTCGACAGCGGAGGGTGTAGGGAAAAATAAAAAGATTTTTGAGTTAGTGTGAACTGCACCCCAAGTATCCTAGCAAACTCACAGCCACACAAAAACTATGTTTAAAAAAATATATAAAAATAAAAAAGTAGACCACCTTTAACCTACAGTGCAGCGTGACCTGCATTACAGGAAGTTGTTAGTGGTCAGCAGTCTGCAATAACAGCTAGCGATCAGAGCCGTTTCTGTTCTTTGACATGCTACAAAAATCCGTCCTCGTCTCCTTGTGTCAGGTGTCCAAATAAGGAAGGCGGTGATTTACTTTTTACAAACTCGGTCTTGTCTCTAGTTTACTTTTGTGTTTCGTTCATGTTAGGGTCTGTTATGGCTGTTGCTAATCATGGCATGCATGTGTGCGTGTATGTATACATATGCACGTGCGTGTGTGTTGTGCATGTACGGGCGAGAACGGTCGATCGCCTGAGTTTGGCTGCTTGTAAAGTACATCTTCAGTCAAAAAAGGTTGGGCACCTCTACTGTGCGGTATCGGTACACAACCACTGACAGGGCTTGACAGTGCGTCCAATCCGCTCGCAAATGTATTTCACTCAATCAATCACAGCCACTTTCACAGGAGCAAACCCCTCAGTCCCAGACAATTTACTGGATTTCGACTGATTTGCAAGACCCACAGATTATTGTGTTCTATTGCGATTATAAGCATGCAGCCAACCAAAAGAAGGATGAGACTCGCTTCTTTCAGCTAAAAAAACAAATTGTCTATTCTGTTCTTCTGCAATCAGCATTAGAAAATAGCTACCTTTCATGAGATTTCCCCTTTTCTGAGGGGAAAATGGAGAAAAATACATTTTTGGATCAGGATGCACTTCAAGCATAATTTCCAAGTATGGCACCACCATTTTTTTGCATTTGTGACATCTAAATAAGGCTTTCCTTCTACAAATCAACATAACATTACAAAAGCAAAAATATTTATCTGCACTCTGTTGAACTGATGAAGTAAAACAGAAGTAAAACAATGTGTTCAGTGTGTGCACGTGTTAAGTTTGCAAGTGTACGTGCACATATGTGCGTGTGTGTACCCCCCTCCCCCCCACCATCCAATGTATGCATAGTTTTTTGTGTGTGATATAAAATAAAGCAATTGCCCTGACACAAGGGCACAACAAATGTGGTAGATCGCATTCTGGAATGACTTTGCTTGCTTTTGCGAAGGCACTGACGCTGCGGTATGGCGTTTGCATGAGGCAGATGATGTTGGTGCACACGGAGCCTCTTTTGGCTGCTTGTTACGTTTGCGCGGACAAAAAGCGTTCTGCTGCTTTCAGAAATTCCTCTCCCTCGTCATTGTGGAAGATTTTCTTCTCCAAAAGCAATCCTCACGGGTGAATTGCTTTGATTTCTCCATCGCTACTGGTTCAAATACACTCTACTAACTACCCTCTACTCGCCCTCTACTTCTGCTTGCATGATCCTGGATGATCCCTGCCACCTGCCACCTGCTGGACAGATTTTAAATGTTTTACAAAGCAGACAAGCCTGATGTGCGTCTGACCCTTGTGCACAAAGAAAAAGGAAAAGACATATTAAAGTGTCATGGGTAGCCGGTCGTCGCGTCTTTTCTTGACATTTTTATGCGTCATGGGGAATAAAAGAGTTAACTAGCACTATTTTGCTACGGAGACAGCACGCTTGTCTATTTTGTGGTACATATTGGAATTATAAATACTGTTGGTACTATTGTTGTAAAACACAATATGTATCTGGGTGGTTGGGTCTCAACTATTAACCCGAAATTTCTCTTTACAATATGTTCTATGCGCCTCCATTGTTCTAAAATCTGCATTGTGATTCTTATTGCATTTGTGGAAGTACACGTTAAGCAGCAAAATCCACCCATTTTTAGCCATGTCAGGAACAGCCCTTTTGCTACTTTCCGTCAGCTGAAAATGAGCTCACAGTTGCTCAGTACTCAGGTAACGAATCTGTGCCGATGCGTCCAGCTGAAAAAGTTGTTGGCAATATTGCTACCAGTGCAAAAGTTCGTGTAGAGCCCTGAATGCAGCTAGCATCCAACCAGAGTTGCAACTGGAGGAATATTTATAATAAGGGAATTTGTTTACACGTATATTAGTATATTTAATAGTGATAAGCTGGTAAGGTATCTTAAACATTGTTTGTTTGGTTATATATTTTTAACAGTTCAGGCAATGCGGGTTGATCCGTCCATGTAAAAGGATGCACAGTGCAATTAATATTAAAACAGCCATTGATTGGAGATGTTTGTTTGGTTATATATTTTTAACAGTTCAGACAATGCGGGTTGATCCGTCCATGTAAAAGGATGCGCAGTGCAATTAATATTAAAACAGCCATTGATTGGAGACACTACTACTAGGACCTGCAGATTTAGTATCTTCAAGGTATGAAAGTCCAAAGATGTGAAGTTGACTCATGCAGGAGTTTTTTTTTTGTTGTTTTTTTTCCCCCCCTCAGATCTTTGGTATCCTGAAGGCTCCATTCACAGACCAAGGTGATGGCCCCATGTTGAAGTTGGAGGATTTGGGAGACCAGCGCTACTCCCACTTTAAATATATGCTGAGACTCTGCTACAGAGTGCTGCGACACTCCCAGCAGGACTATCGCAAAAACCAGGCACGTCTGAATGGAGAGTTTGTTGAGTTCAAGCGCACAAGTAGTCAAGGTTGTCTAAGGATACTTGGAGACTTTGTAAAAGTTTTGTCAGACTGTCTACTGTATAGGACAAAAAAAGCTTTGCTGGGATCGTAGGTTGCTGTACATATACGGCACCAAATACCTGCCTGATTTCTTACATCATTAACTGACATTAAGTGACGGCATTTTGAAAAGTTAATTATTATATATTAATTCAAGAACAATTTATTATATTTTTCATTCCATTCATACAGGAGTATATAGCAAAAAAGTTCTCAATCATGCAGTCTCAAATTGGGTATGAGATTCTGGCTGAGGATACCATCACTGCTCTGCTGCACAACAACCGCAAGCTGCTGGAAAAGCACATCACAGCGAAAGAAATTGAGACATTTGTCAGCCTTCTAAGACGGAATCGAGAACCCAGGTAATTCATTGTCACCACTCACACCTCACCAGCTAATAAAGTCGAAACTGGCAGGTCGCCTCGCAAAAAAAGAATGAAAAACTTTGCTTCTCATTTTGCTGTATACTTTCCACTCTCTGTGATTGTCAATTTATTGTTGACTTACTGCAATACTGTATATTATTCTGAGCATCCCAGACAGAGTTTGAACGTACTGCACAACTAAGTGCATGGCTAATTTGAGTGAGAGAGCCAGCAGACTATGAGCCGCAGAGATTCCCGAATTGTTGGGAAGGGGTGCCGAAATGAATCTGTCTGCTCATTTTTCTGTGCATATTCCACTCATCTATTATTGTTATTGACTCATTGTCACATTAATCATGTTGTACTGTGCATCTTAGATTGATGTGTGTGTGCCACTTTCACAGTAAGACACTCAAAAGATAAAGAAAAAGCTCTCGCTCACTTACTCTTGACTTGAGGTTTTGCCCGACTTCGGCTGCTTTAGAGGCATCTTTGACCAGAAAAATTTCAATTGGTGATTTTCTGAATAGTATGAGCTCAGGGGCCATGGCTTCAACTGTAGTTTTTATTTATGTATTTATTCATTCATTTGTTAAGTAGTTAGCTTCTGAAGTGTGTGTGCTGGTTTCTTCCAGATTCTTGGATTATCTCTCAGATCTGTGTGTGTCCAATAAGACCGCCATCCCTGTCACACAGGAGCTTATTTGCAAATTTATGCTCAACCCCGCCAATGCGGATATCCTTATCCAGACAAAGTGAGTTACAACATGCGGTGACATGAATATCACATTTTCATTTGTGTGTGTGCGTACATGTATTTGTTTATTTTTGTAACAACTACTCTGTCACACGCTCACATCCAGACTAATCCCTAATACCGAGACACCCCTGGAGTCCTCTTTGATGCAGGAAGACGGGGAAGAGGAGGAGGTTTGGCTCTATTGGATCGACAGCCACAAGGAGCCTCATGGCAAATCCATCCGCCATCTGGCTCAGGATGCTAAAGGCAACCATAAGATGGATGTAGATATCATCACTTACTACAGGTGGCCTTATTGCTGTTACTTCCTTATTGTCTTCAAACTTTTTTTTTTGGCCCTGTAGCGAAATGATGAGAAAAATCAGACAAGTGAGTTTTTACTGCAGAGAACCAGCCTTTTTCCCAATCCCTCATTAATTTCCTCTTGTCAGGTATCAGCTGAACCTGTTTGCTAAAATGTGCCTGGACCGTCAGTATCTTGCCATCAATCAGATCTCCGCTCAGCTTCCTGTGGATCTCATCTTGCGCTGCATGTTTGATGACTGTCTGCCCTTCAACCTGCGAGCCTCCTTCTGTCGCCTCATGCTTCATATGCATGTGGACCGGGACCCACAAGAAGCTGTGGTTCCTGTGCGCTATGCGCGCCTCTGGACCGAGATCCCATCCAAGATCACCATCCATGAGTGAGCATCAGACATCTGATGACCACATGGCACGAACACACATCGTGACCTGTTACATGTCTATTGTCATTGTGTTTCTCTGCAGATTTGAATACGAGTCAGCAGATTCCTCGAGAGAGGAGATGAAGAGGAAGTTTGCTCCCACCATGGAGTTTGTTGAAGAGTATCTCAAGGATGTGGTCAGCCAGCCTTTTCCATTTGGGGAAAAAGACAAGAATGAGCTGACTCTAGAGGTATAATTAACCTGACAAGTTGCAAAGCATATCATATACAGTTAATACATAAGATAAGACAAGAAAACCTTTATTTGTCTCACAATGGAGAAATTGCCAATTTACAGCAGCAAAAATTATGAAAGGAAGAAGTAGAAATGCTTACAGTGGTCTCAGAATGTGCATCTCTGGTTTCGTGTATGACATTTGCAAACTGCTAGCAATATTGAATGTCCCAGTCCCCGCCCCCTCGCAACAATGCCCAAAGAAACGCCCCAGCTAACTAACGCGGATGCGCACGCAGCTTCATTGCTAGCATAAATTTTTCATGGAGTTTACTAAACATAACACGTTACTGGTTTTTATGTTGTGTTTTTTTGAATGTGCAGTCAATTAAAAATATTAGAGAGATGATCAACTTACTTGACAAACCAGAGAAAACAGTCACGTCGGCACCAGTGGTTCCAGCCATCTGCGGCACTCCATTTGCAGCCGTTCGCATCTGGGAAACCACTCTTATATACATACATATATATATGTTTACCCTTGATTTGAGGTTGAGTGATGTCCGATTCCTTCTTTTGAACTTTTGTTGCAGGTTTAAATAATCTGGCCAAGAAACTATAGTAGTGTAAGTTGAGGGGTTCGTTGTTTTTAGTGGATAGCTCTTCTTTACGAATGACAAAAGGAGAGATGGCATCCTTTAATGCAGTTTATTAAAAGGGGAAAAAAAAAGACGTCTGCACCGCAGCACGTTCGAGAACACAACTCTCGTAACAAAAATCACTTCCTGCTTCTCTTACTTCAACAGCCAATCAGAACCTATCAATATAAAAACATGTCTAAGCAATCATTACACAACAGAATATAATTTAGGAATGCTTAACATGAAATAATATGATGCTTAAACATAAAATGATAATAATATAACATAAGATTACAGTAGTCTCATTTGCGACATTCTGCGTGTTTCCCCCCTAAGCTCTGTGAGTGGCAGTTCAAATGAGCAAGTGATGTATTATTTGGTTATGCCTTCTGTCTCTCCAGGCTTTGATTGGCCAATTTTGTTTACACTGTGACAACATTTAAAGTAATAGTTAAGTTAATTAGAGGCAAAGATCATTTAAATAATATTCTACTGTCATGTCAGGTAATAAAGAGAGTTTTAACATGCTGTATGACAAAAAGTGTGCACCTTTCAGGGGGAGGAACTGTTCAATGTGTCTGTAGGCTTAAATACAGTACGCTAGTACTTTCCTACTGTGCATTTCTGAATGGCTTTATTTTACTCTTCTCTCCTCTAGGTGGTGAATCTCGCTCGTAACCTGGTTTACTTTGGTTTCTACAGCTTTAGTGAACTCTTGCGACTCACCCGCACTCTACTGGCCATACTGGACATAGTTCAACACCCGCTCACTTTCATGAACAAGCTCACCAAAAGTCCAGAGGCTGGTGGGTGTTCCTACAAGCGATTTTAGTTGACTGCCTCTGTCATTTTTATGTATTGATTCTATCTAACCGAATTAGCTCATCGCACAGTCACTGATGGCGTAGTGGCGCATTTACCTGACTGATGCAATTGGTTCTCACTCAGTGATGGTGTGAACGTGAGAGTGAATACTCTCTTTTCTTGTGGACAAATGTGGCTTGGCTGAAACATGTGGACTATGTCAACAAATACAAGACAGCCGTCCAAATGTGTGAAATTGGCCGTCTCCTCCAGGTAACAATGTTCTGCGCACGATCCACGGCGTTGGAGAAATGATGACCCAGATGGTGATGAGTCGAGGTGTGCCACAAGGCCTGCCCGACACGCCTACTTCACTGCGCTACGGCAAAGGACACATGCTTCTGGACAATGAGGACGTCATGGTGATGGACACCAAGCTAAAGATCATCGAGATCCTTCAAGTATGTGCTCCCATGTCAATGCGCACAGCGTTGTGTGGTTGAAGATCATCTGTTTGCCAATTTGGTGGTGTTCTCACTTCTCTCTGTAGTTCATCCTGAGTGTGAGACTGGATTACAGGATCACATATTTGTTGTCCATCTATAAGAAAGAGTTTGGAGAGAAGAGCATATCCGAGAGTGCCGCTTCTCAAACTGACATGCTCCTGATGATGACACGTAAGATGCCTTTTAAGATTCAACTTCATTTTCTCTTGTCTCAATGCTCTGCTGTACAATTTGATTTCTGTCCAGCTTCCGAGCCAGACATTGATGAGATTGCGACCAAAGCAGAGAGCATGTTTGCTGGGAGGTAGGTCAAATACGCACTGAATTTCTATTCATACACCATCCTCACGCTCTCCTTAAAACCGATTAAATGATCGCTTCTTGTGCATAATGCTCGATCCACAAATGAACTTGACTGTCCAAATGTGAGTGAGAATTCAAGTTCCCTTTTATCTCAGCTCCGAGTTAAGCGCAGTGGAGCTTGACGATGAAGGTGGCCGAACGTTTCTGAGGGTTCTGGTCCATCTCATGATGCAAGACTATCCTCCATTGGTGTCTGGGTCACTGCAGCTCATCTTCAAGCACTTCAGTCAGCGAGCTGAAGTGCTACAGGCCTTCAAACAGGTACATTAAAGTTGACATCAGTTACCATAATTAGATATTGTGGTATCTTAAAGGATTTAAATGGTTATTTTAAACCTAAATACTGTACTGCCATTTGTGCTTGATTTATTTCCTGTGTCTGCCTATTTTCCAGGTCCAGCTATTAGTGTCAGAGCAAGATGTGGAGAACTACAAGCAGATCAAGGCCGACTTGGACCAACTGCGTCTTACTGTTGAAAAATCAGAATTGTGGGTGGAGAAGAATGGAGTCTACAATGGTGAAGATCTTGGTGTCAGACAGGGCAAAGAACAAAACATCGAGGTAAATAAAAGGGTATCCATAACACAGTTGAAATGTTCGTCTTGAAATGACCGTTGCGTTTCCCAACCTTTCTTGAGCAAAGGCACATATTTTGCAAAAATGTCATAAAATGTGGAATTCCTCTTTGGTTAAAAGTATACATTGAGAATAATAAATACATAAGTTATTTTTGTTGTAGCTTTTACTCTTCAGATCTGCACAATAAATATTCTCAGCATTGCATTCTTTTTTATTTTACCTTCTTTAAAATCTATTCAGCTTGTTCTCAATGACCATACAACCTGATATTTCTTGTGATGCCATTCTGCAAATCACCGTTGCTAAGTTATTGTATATTTCACGATACAGTTCAGACATCATATTGAGTAATTCAAAACGGAAATTAAAAACAAATAGGTTGTCAATATTTTGTCACTCAAAACTATTGAAAGAACTATAGTAGAAATCTTAAGAAAATGTGAACGTTGCTCAGAGTCTTTCTCGTGGCGCCTGTTTGTTGTTTTGGTTGAGACACATGTGTTCCTGCGTCTCCTCAAAATCAAAATGTCCTGAATGTTCCTGAGAGGCTCTGATAGGGGTTGGCATGTCCGAGTACGATTCGTCATTAAAATTGCTTGTGATGACTGATTTTTCTTTGTGTCTTGCCAGGAGACTGGGCTGAGCGCAGTTCACGATGGGAACAATAAACCTCAAATAGACAGCAACAAGGAAAACAACTACAACATTGTCAAAGAGGCAAGTTTCATGCCTGTCTCTTCACATTTTTTCTCATTGGATGTCAAGAGCACGTCTGTCTGGTAGTTGTCAACAGAGTGTTATTTGTGTGTCATATGTAGATCTTGCTACGGCTCAGTAAACTGTGTTACCATGGTAAAAAGATCCGTACACAGCAGCAGCGGCTTCTGAAGAACATGGGGGCACACACAGTGGTGCTGGACCTCCTTCAGATCCCCTTTGAAAAAGTGAGCATTAACCACCACTGCCGGGTGACTTATCTTGTGACAAACTGCCTGACCGTAACTCCCGTTGCCTCTCTTTTAATTGTTCTTTCCCAGAGTGATGATAAGATGAATGAGATCATGACCCTGGCACATGCTTTCCTGCAGAACTTCTGCAGAGGGAACCAACAGAACCAATTTCTGCTCCATAAACACCTCAATCTCTTCCTCACTCCAGGGGTGGGTATGATTGGAATCGTATTTGAGAAAGCACTACAATAAAACTGAAGGACACTTTATCCGCCGCACATAATGACGTAGTTAAGTATATATTTTTCGACCTGCCAGCAAGATTTTAATGAAGCCTTAATTCACCCCCCCACCCCGCCCCACTCGCATCACTGACCAAAGTCGTGCCTGTCACAAATATGCATGCGACATGTATCCTATATGTGCAACATGAACTATATAATAGTATAGACACAAGTCAACGTTACCCCAGGCTGCTACGTCGATCTCATGCCATATTCATGTTGTAAAGTCGCCAAACATGAAATGTTACTGGTTCAATCTTGTCTTTCTGGAATGTACAATCAATTAAAAATCGAAAAAGAGGTCATCAACTTACCGTATTGGCCCGAATATAAGACGACCCTGATTATAAGACGACCCCGTCTTTTTCAAGACTCAAGTTTGAAAAAATACTTTTTGAAGACCAAATTAATTTTTATACGGAAAATAATTACAGTAAATCTGAAACAAATGATTATGACAATATATTTGAGAGAAAAAGCATCTTGCAGTTTACACCATAATCTTCTCCTCAGCTGCCGGTTAACCTGGTCGATCTTCGACCCACTTTTCTCCAGATTGTCGCTACGTTCCACCATTTTCTGTTATCTCTTCTATTATTTTCATCTCTTTTCTGACCACAATTTTTATTTTTCTTCTTCGTGCTACCGCTATTTTTATTTTTATTCTTCGTGACGGGTTCGCTTTGGCCTGCAGGGTCAAGTTCAGCATTCACTTCAATGATATCTGGCGCCACCTAGCGTCGTGAATGGGTATAATGTTTAGACCCCAAATATAAGACGACCCCCACTTTTTCAGTCTTATTTCAATGCAAAAAACACCGTCTTATATTCGGGCCAATACGGTACTTGATAACACATTGGGAAAGATGAATTTAGCCCAGCGATGCAGCTGTCCGTGTAAGAAATCACCATAACAGAATAATAAGAAAACCTTTATTCGTCTCACAATGGAGAAATTCCCAATTAACAGCAGCAAAGTTATGAAAGGAAGGAAGTAGAAGAACAAAAAGTATAGGAGCTGCTGTAAAGGCAGCCACTCTCGCGGCGCCATCTTGAAGTCATAAACACATGATAAACATAAATAAATTAAATACCTTTACCTTTTACAGTATTTGTCTCAAGGGCTCTCTATTTCCATTCCTTTTAACTTTTGCTGCTAACCAGATTTGTATAATCTAGTCAAGAAAACTATCTGTGTGACAGGGCTGTGTGCTGTAGCCAGACTGAGAATGGATGTGCGATGGACAAGTTCTTTGGTCACTCCTCCGGTCTCTCCAGTCTCTAATTGGCCACTTTTGTCATGCTGTGTCAAGTTTAGAAATAATGATTAAAAATGAAATTAGTCTGTGTTCGTTCACTTACTTGTAGAAGTGCTCCAATACTATGACACCAGTACTACACATGTACAGGCTAAACCTGGGCAAGGTGACGTAGGCGCCATGTAAGTTGGGTTGAGATACTTAATAGGATACATGGATCAGAAAACTAAAGTAGGCTGCTAAAGTTGTTGCTATAAAATAAATAAATAAATAATCTCAATGAGTCATGTTCAAAACCAAGCATTCTCATCACAATTGCAAGGCATACCGTTATGATCAAGTATCGGTAGTTATTATCAGCGAATATTTTAATGTATTGTAAACACGTGTGCTTGTACTCTGTTTCTCTCCAGTTACTGGAAGCCGAAACAATGCGCCACATCTTTATGAATTACTACCAGCTGTGCAATGAAATCAGTGACCGGGTTGTGCATCACTTTGTCCACTGCATTGAAACGCACGGACGTCATGTTCTGTACTTGAAGTTCCTGCAAACCATTGTGAAAGCTGAAGGAAAGTATGTGAAGAAATGTCAGGACAAAGTTATGACTGAGGTGAGGGGATTTGCCTCTATTGTATTATCTTCAGCAATGTGATGAGTTGTTACTTTCGCCTCCCACAAAAAAATAAAATACATTGCCTAGACAGCAGTAGATAATCTTTCTTGATGTCATGATTGTCTCGTGACTTGCTGAGTTTTACTCATTTACAGTTAAATCATGGATATGTAAATATTAAATGGCTGTCTGTTTGGGCGCTGCCTGAAATATGTACGCTTCATCAACAGATGTTTCAGGAGCATCATGTTCAGTCAAATTCAGTAATTCAGTTCAAATTTAACCAATTTCACACAAGGCATTTGTTATTGCAAATATTTGAATTGGAAATATCCTGAAATAACTGAGGTTGAGCTCCTTGAGCTTGCAATGGTAAAACTTGGATCGTTCTTGTTCTTGCAGCTCGTGAACGGGGGCGAGGATGTCCTGGTGTTCTACAATGACCGCTCCTCATTTCCAGTCTTACTTCAGATGATGGGCTCCGAGCGTGAGCGCACTGATGAAGATGGAGCTCTGGCTTACCACAACACGCTTGTGGAGCTGCTTGCTACTTGCACTGAGGGCAAGAACGTCTACACGGAGCTGAAATGTAACTCTCTGCTTCCACTGGATGACATCATCAAAGTTGTCACCGATGTCAACTGCATCCCGGAGGTAAAGGCTGCGAGGGAACCAAAGGGCAGGAGACAGATAACTATCTGTCTGCTGCATCCACTGCTGCAGAGATTGTGTTTGTGTGCTGTAATATAAGTCATCCTCGACATTTCGTTTAGTTGGCATCGCAGTGGGCTAGTGGTTAGCACGTCTTCCTCAGTTGAGAGTGTCTATGTACGGTCAAATCATGGGTCTGGCCATGTGAACTCATCTTGTACTCTGGGTTCCTCTTTCCATAAACTGTAATAAGATTCTAAGATATAGGTGTGGGCATCTGTCCATCCATCCATCCATCCATCCATCCATCCATCCATCCATCCATCCATTTTCCGATCCCCTTATCCTCACAAGGGTCGCAGGGGGTGCAGGAACCTATCCCAGCCGTCTTCAGGCAGTAGCCGGGGGACACCCTGAACCGGTTGCCAGCCAATCGCAGGACACACACACACACACAGATAAACAACCGTCCACGCTCACATTCGCACTCACACCTCGGGACAATTTAGAGTGTCAATTAGACTGCCATACATGTTTTTGGAATGTGGGAGGAAACCGGAGTACCCGGAGAAAACCCACACAGGTCGGGGAGAACATGCAAACTCCACACAGGGAGGCCGGAGCTGAAATTGAACGCGGTACCTCTGCGCTGTGAGGTCAACGCACCAACCACTGGCCCACCGGGCCGCCCAGGTGTGGGCATGTGAGTGTGAATAGTTGTTCATCGATATGTACCCTGCAATTGGGTAACCACCAGCCCGGGATCCAACTCTGCCTTCATTTAAAGTCAGCTAGAGTAGTCTCTTGCTCACACATGACCTGAATGAGCTCTAGAAAATTGGCTGAGCTAAAGTTTTTTCCATTCTTCTCTTTTTCTCTGTATAGGTGAAAACTGCGTATGTGAACTTTGTCAATCACTGTTATGTAGACACCGAGGTAGAAATGAAAGAGATCTACACCTCCAATCATATCTGGAAGCTGTTCGACAACATCCTGGTTGATATGTCCAGAGTGAGGCTCAAATTTCAAGTCCCAATTCCCATACGGTATGATCAGAAAAACTCTTGGCCAAGTATTTTCTTTGTATTTCTAGGTGTGTAACACGACCACAGACCGGAACCATGCCGATTTGGCCCTTGAAAAGTATGTGACAGAGACAGTGATGGCCATTGTCACGGGATTCTTTAGTTCACCATTTTCTGTGAACCACTCCAACCTTCAGGTATACTTATACAAGAAGTAACCCTACACAATATTGATGAACAAGTATCATCACATTGTTAAAAAAATAAAAGGGAAAGTCATTCCCCCTGTTAATTTAGGAACAATTGCTAATTTGTTGTGTTGCAAAAGTGCTTACTTATCAGTAAATAAAAATGTATTACCCCAAAGTGTCAAAACTTCATGTTGTGTATTGTTTATAACTTTAATTCTGCAGCAGAGTATCTTAATGACAATAAGACTCATTATTATTATTATTATGATCATAAACATAATAGCACTCTTTAGGGGCTTAGGTTAGTCGTAAGGTAGGGTAGGGACGTTCATTTAGTGTTTGGTTATTTAATAATGAAACTACAATGCATTAGAGAGTCTTTGTTGTTATCATACGCTAGATTTGCTTAAAGTTTATTGGTAGACATTTGCACCGCACTTCATTCCAAGGGGTTTTGTGTCTTCCGTTTGCAACAGACAAACCAATCCATCTTCATCAAGCTGCTCCAGTCAGCTTTTAGGCTCTACAACTGCACATGGATTAGTCAGAAGGCAAGTATTGAGAACTGCATCAGGACACTTGCTGATGTTGGTAAGTACTACTGCTATTTCAATTTGACTGACAGTTCGTCATTTCAACTCATTTGGATGAAAACGGTTTCACCAATTCTCTGTGCTTTTTTTTTTTTTTTTTCCAGCCAAGGCGAGGGCAATAGCAATCCCAGTTGACCTGGACAGTCAGGTCAACACGCTGTCTCTAAAGGTCCATAGCAACATGGTTCAGCGCGCAGCAAAGGACTGGAGGAGCTCTGCGCGCACGCGGCCCCGCAAGGAGCACCTGGGCGGCCCTGACTACAAGACCATCATTGAAAAGTTGCAGGTATTCATTAATCTAGTACCCAAAGTCAGAAATAGCTATCAGCAGGATGGAGAATGCTGAAGTATGCATACAGTTTTTCTTGATAGTGCATTAACTACTTGAAATCAAGAAATGCTGTCTTCACCCATTAATTTAATAAGCTAACTTAATTTAAATGTACAAAAACTTCGGAAGTGAATGTAAACGATTTGGTTTGAAAGTTGTAGGATACAATTAAAAGGGTATTTCATTTCATCTAACTTTCCAGAGTACGCTTTAATTTAAGTAATGGCCCAATCAAGTTTCAGAAGGATGCTTGGCCTTCAATTCACGGTCAATTGAATGTGGCAATTAAAAAATTAACTAATCGTATGCAAGTGTATAATGAAAGCGACTCAGGAGTAATGCCTGCCCTAAATCCTACTGCCTTTAGGGCACCACGGAAGAAGCAACCACCTAGTTTTTGTTTATCGGAGGCATGTCTCGTGCCACTGGTAGTGGATAATTGCGTAGAAGGGACATTAACTTTGAAAAAGACCGGGCCAATCTTCCCGGGCAGACAAAATATTTTTCGGAGGAATCAAACAAAGCTAATACTTTTATTTGACATGTGCGGTTCACACACTGGCACAGATACCTCCCCGTTATTATCCACCACCGCTCCAACATACGACAGCAGCCGAAACAACATAAAACACGTTTTGGGTTTTTTTTCCGTTTTTTTTTTCTCTAAGCCTTGCAAGGCGATCAAGCACATTAGGTACTCTCTTCAATTTCTAATGAGACTGAACGCTAGCGCGGCAGCATTGGCTTTGCCTTCTGTGAACCCCCCTCTCTCGCCTCTCCAGTACAGTAATGACCAGTCAAATTGCAGTTTTTGTGATGAGAAAATCGCACTTATCAAATTGCACTTATATTGCAAATGCAATCAAGTTTTCAACCAGAGTGAAAAGGCAGATTAATAGTTTTGGTGAGAAGGCTCGTAACATTCTTATTTGTTGTGTTTATTTGAAGAAGTACTCTGCCGCAATATAAATATGAAATATAAGAGAACAGAATTGTGACAGCTTTCAGCAATGATATCCTCAATTCGAGTCGGTGAATCCCCGCATTTCTTTCTGCATGCCATTTACATACATTTTTTTCTTCCAAAATGAAATCGGGCTTTCGATCATTTTGGTTCCAAATGAATTGATGAATGTGCCCATGCGTGTGCAGGGTGTTGTGTCCCATTTGGAAGAGCAGTTCAGTCCGATGGTTCAGGCCGAGTTTTCCGTGCTGGTGGATGTTCTCCACAGTCCTGAGCTGCTGTTTCCTGAGGCCGCTCGCCTGCGTTGTGAGAGTGGAGCTTTCATGTCAAAGTAAGTCACTATCACACCAGATTTAAGGCTCAAGTAAAACAGAAACTTCACAAGGTCCAGTTGACATGTCAAGTTTTCCTCTTCCACTAAAATAAACTACTCTGAAAGTCAAATGTAATTTCAGCCTTCCTTTGAACTTGCACGAGTTTGTTTTCCTTGGTAAAGTGGTGCAACTTGATAAGGATTTAGTCCATTTGTTTTTGTTTTTTTTTTGCTCCACAGACAACGACTACTTCTAATCCGCAAAAGACTTTCAAAGTACCTCTTTTTAATATCAGATCACTTAATAACAAATGATTTCTTAACGAGAAAATGATTTTAAATCATCATCTTGATGGTTTGTTTTGTCAGATTTGACTGAGCACAAATGCAGCATTGGTTCATTTGAAACGACCCTTCCCAGCTACAACTTTTCATTTTTAAATAAATCGGGAAAGATGGGAAAGGGTGTAGCAACTATATCACAAATGTAAGTGATTAAAAAAAAAAAAGTCACTAGGTGCATTCCCAACGTGTGAGCATCACTGTATTGTTTTAAGAAATCTGTTCTCTTTTGCCATGTGTGTTTACAGACCTTTTTAACTTGATGAATTTCACCCGACAAAGTATTTCGCAACCCACACATATCAAGGAGATCACCCTTTGGTCCTTATCATCCCCTCATCAGGAGTGTCAACACAAGTCACACCTATTTAGATTCAACAATCTCCGATCACTTTTGTAATATTTTCACCATGAATTGTTTATAAAAACAAAATAAGGCAATTCCAGAACGCAGCACTGCCAACATTAATGGCTGAATTGTCTGCTAATTTTATTAACCTTTTAACAGAATGCTCCGCAGACATTTTACCTTCCTCTTGCAGTCATAGCTGTCCATCACAGTGCCTGCAGAGATCCTATTGAAAGCAAGAGCATTCACTCTCAATCATATATCGTCAACATAGTCCTCCCAAAGAAACCTCCGCAAACAAACACACGAGACAGTTGAGGTCTCTTTCTGTCAGTCGTCAATAAAACTGGCGTCCATCAGTGATGGACTGATGGACCATCCATGCGAACTCTTTGCATTAGCCTGCTCTCATCTTAATACACAAACCCAATTCCGATAAGGTTAGGGCGTTGTGTTAACTCATTCATTCTCAAAGACATATTTATGTCTTTTCAGACATCACACATTCAATCCCATGTACTTAGGTTTTCTTTTTTCCTCGCTTTTTTTTCCCAAGACTGAAAGCCTTTTTTTTTTTTTTTAATGGGTCTGAAAATGGCTGGTACTGAATGAGTTAAACATGAATAAAAACAGAATACAATGATTTGCAAATCATGTTCAACCTATATTCAATTGAATACACTTCAAGGACAAGATATTTCATGTCCAAACTGATAAACTTTGTTTTTTTTGTAAGTAATCATTAACTTAGAATCTTATGGCTGGAACACATTCCAAAAAAAGCTGGGTCATGTGACCTCGAGGAAGGAAAAAAAAAGCAAAATATGATTGGATCTTATATATTACTTTATCACTCTGGCAGGCTTATCAAACACACCAAGAAGCTGATGGACAAAGAGGAAAAGCTTTGCATCAAGATCCTGAAGACACTCAGAGAGATGCTGGACAAAAAGGACTGGTTTCAGGAGTCTGTGAGTAGTCCGCCCACCTTTTTTTTGGCTCACAGATGGAAAGCCCTTGCTTGTAATGAGGTGAACATTTTTTTCCCCTCCTCAAAGATTGTTATCCGCTTAGCCTTGTTTCTAAGTGTCAGCAATGCTCTGCTGCTACCGGCAACCCTCATTCTCTTCCATGTCTGTGAGCCAAGAATCTCCCTCATCTGTATGCAGTGGGCCTTTCTGAGTTACATAAGGATAGGAGGCACTTGAGGACACAGACTGAGAGGGAGAGTAGCAGGAGGAAGGATGAGGGGTGATGTCTGAACAAGCAAATCAATACCGCAGCGGTGTGTGTGGAGGACACGTTTGGTTTTAGTTTTGGGGAGGGTATAACATCACCTGATTGAGGGAAGTGACCGCATGTGAGTGTTTTTGTCTGGGTGGAAAGTACAGCGAGTGCACTGCAAAAGTCAGGTCATTAACCACATGCATGAGGATTGCTTCGAGGCATGGGGGAAGTTCCTCCTCTCAGGATATGCAACTTTAGTTTGTTGTAGACACAAGCTTGCATCACTTTTATGGGTACTGGTGTTCCTTATTTCAATGACTCTTTTTTTGTATTCCGAGTATCACTTCTGTATTGTATGCTACTATTGTGAGCATTAGTGAGAAAGTTGGCTTAAAGCTAGTTTACAGAGAGCCTTGTAAACTAATTAAAATGAAACCAAATGCCCAACCCAATGAAAATGCTCCATGTAAACACCGATTGGAATAAAAAGGCCGAATTTGAATGGAATTATTCACAGTGGCCGCCCACTACTCGCGGGCTATAGGGCCCAGGCCTGCCTGCCAATACGGAAAATCCGTGTATAATTGACCCCCAATGGAATGCATAGAGAGGGGGAAAAACGTTTTTTTTTTTTAAATTAATCTCCAAAAGTTCAGCAAAAACATTGATAGATATCTGGCATGTGTTTTTCAAGAAACCAGGGGAAAAATGACCCCCACCCCCAAATAAATAAATCGCCTCACACCCCCCACCCCACAAATACGTACAAGAAATCCTATAAATTTAAATTAGGGCCCGGTGATATGGCTGTCTATTGATAACTAGTTGCATGTTTTTTGGTTTTACCTAATCAAAAGAAGCTGAAATATTGAAATGGGCTAAAGAAAATAAAATGAAGCACAACTATCATAACATTTCCTTATGTTTTTCCAAATTATCTGGCAGAAAAACACATTTTCTAAGTATTAGCATTGTTTTGTGTACATTGCATTGTAGTGCAACGTGTTGCTCTCCCCGCTCCTCTATCAGTGCCAAAATGCTTATTTGCGGAAGATGCTACCACAAAGGAGTATCGCCGAAACAATTACATAAACTTTGATTCATTCTTCATACCACGTAAATGTAGCCAACTAATACTCTTAAGGTGTTCATGCATGACATTTGACCAACTTTTCTAGGATTACTTCAACTTGTGAACTTGTTCTTAGCATTGGCACACTCCACACTCACCGTGTGTGTACGCACACTTCTTCGTCGGTTCAGCCGTTTCTTCTTTGTGTCCGCACGTGAGGGTGACTTGGAAGTGGATTTTCACTGTTGGCCCCATCCCACGCCCACAGAACCCCCCCCCCCTTTCCAAACGAATCCCATTCCTGTACCGCTCCCATTTTGGGGGTCACCTACGTTTAAAAAAAAAATGGACTCTTACTATTTCGTGCAACATGGAATCGAGACCAAATTGGAAAAAAAAAATTGCTCCTGTGAAGTTTCTATCCTGTACCGTCCCAATCCTGTGTTGGAAGGGAAAGTTAACTCTCTTTTTGTCGCGGAATTCCCATGATGCACAAAGTTCCCGAAAAAAATATCAACCTCTAGTCCGCACTCGCCCGACGAGCTCTCAAGACACGCTTTTGTGCTCAAAATCTCCTTTTACTTGCTTGTAATTGTGACACAAATTTAACGCCATACTGTCGCCTTTAATTATAGGATGCCGGGGTTTGGGTTTTCTTCCTGGTTTATTTATTTATTTATTTATTTTCTATTGAACATTTTATCAACCATATTTTCTGTTGATATTGATCACGTCTGTTGCGCTACATATTAATATTGAATTATTGCTAAGCACTAATTTAAATTTATATAGTTTTAAACTGCCCCATTGAAAATGTTGCTAGACAATAAAACACATTTTGATGCTGTGGACAATGTGACTTTAAGGACCGTTTATTATAAAAAAAAAAAAAAGGAAACACGGTTGGTTATAAAGCTTAATGCATGAAGTAAAAATATTGTTTATTTGAATAGACCATTATTCTATACAATTCTCAGTTTGACACTCAAATAGTGAAATATTCGATAGCTGCAGCCCTATGCATTCAACCTCCCCGCTATTGTTTTTATTGCGTAATAAAACCCTTGCTTTATGTCCCTAGGATTAACCTACAAAAAAATTGCTCCTCAAATGAAGTAATGGCTCCACAAACCAAAAAGTTCTTTTGAGCCTCGTGAATATTTTTGAATATTGATAAGAAAACAGCTCTTTAAAAACCTGTGGCATTTTTGACCAATGAAAACTCCTTGAAAAAGGGCCTGCCGCTCATTTTCAATTCAAAAGATCTTGCAAACCCAATAAAAAGACATGCAATATTATTGAAAAAAAAAATTCTGTTATGGACTCTTAATCGCCAACTTCATATTTCAGTGCCTTCTCTTGTACAGGTTATTTTTAGGATTTGAATTAGGACTCATCTGCACAGATACGAGACCAGGGGTGCCCATTACGTCGATCGCGATCGACCGGTAGATCGCGGACTGGTCCCAAGTCGATCACGAGGGGTTTAGAGCAGAAAAAAAAACAAACAACCATTTGTGGGTCGTTGTGCATGTTAGTAATATATTTTTTTGTGTTAATGTACACTGCACCATAATCATCCTATCAGTTTCATTTTCACAAAAAGTATTTAAAAAATAAAATAAAATAAAGCAGGTAAATCTTTAAGCTACGGTGGCGCGTGACCTGCGTTACCGGAAGTTGTTAGTGCTCAGCAGCTTGTGATCAGAGCTGTTGCACTATATCTTTTATCGCTATTTTTCTCCTTCAGAGTTTGTTTCGTGCACAATTCACCGAGGGCACGAGCAAAAAATAGGACTCTAGGGGGCCGAGGGGAGCACTTTAAAATGGTACGTGTGAGCTATGATAGTTAACAGTCTGCAAAAGTGTGTCGCATACCTCCGTGTCAGGCTGTTGCTCATCATGGCGTGCGTATGTGCGTGCGCGGTAAGGGTCGATCGCGGGAGGTTGGTTGATCGAAAAGTCGATCTTCGGTCCAAAAAGTTTGGGCACCCCTGTTCTAGACACTCTATGCTGGATGTAGCAAAGCAGCCCAAGAACATGGTCCTAGAGAAAAAGAAACTCCGATGGTCACAGCTCAAGGGGACGTTTTTATGCACCATCATCTGACATCCATCCATGGATGGATGGATGGATGGATGAAACTAGTAGAATAAAAAATAACCAATACACCAAATGAGCAGTGTTATGCGTAGAAGAGTAACATAAAAAATCTTAAGTTCCCTGAATAAATGTACACAATCTCTCAGCAAATTAAGGGACGTCATTTTTTGCTAGTGGCTTGTTGTTTTTTTTTTCCTGGTATTTGTTACCTGTCATTTCCTTCACCCTTTTACATTTACATTTTTATGATACTGTATTCTCTATCTCATTATCTAATCATGCCCCATTAGAACAGAATAAGATCAGAGAGAGTGGATCGTCTCTCTTTAAACTGTGGAACAGGGCAATCAAAAAGCCAGACAGTGCGCAGAGGTAGGATAAATATCGGGTTGTGTAGGTGTGTGTGCTCAAGCATGTCTCTGTGGCCTCTGTCATATCCTTGTAGCCCTGAGCGTGGAGCTGCAGCCTCGCCGCACAGTGGGAGGGAGGGAAGGAAGCAGCGAGAGGGAGTGAAAGAAGTTGATGGAAATAATGAGAGAGAGAGAGAGAGAGAGAGAGAGAGAGAGAGAGAGAGAGAGAGAGTGTGACAGCATTAGCATTAGAGGCTGGTGGCTCCCCAGGGGTGTGATGAGTTGATGGGGGGTGGGGCGGGGGGCCGAGGAGGAAGGGAGGGAGGCAGCCATGTGAGGATCCATGTGAGCGGAAGAAGGGGAAAAAAAAGTGTGCGGCGGCTGCAGAGTGAGGGATTGGAGAGAAGCGGCGTCTGTTCAGTCCATGTGGAGAGAGGGCAGGGGTTGTACTTATGTAATAGCCCGCAGTAGCTGAGCCAACGTCACGTGGAATATCACATTCTCGCTCACGCCCTCCCCTCCCTCCTTCGTCTCTCTCCTCTGTCTGCTCGCTGACGTTCTCTTCCTCCTTTAGTCTCCCCTTCAGGCTTTGTCTGAGTTCATCACTTTCTGGATGTACACCTGGGTGGTCAACAGAGTAACCGAAGAATGACACTGACACCTTTCCAAATAGTTATCTTCTAATGGCTTGAATGATAGCGTGTGACAAAATGTCATGCAAATATGTTCGCGATACTTCATTATTTTACTGAAAGCTATACACCCATGTTTGGAAAGGAACGGAAATGTTTTTTTTGTGTCAAAATATGCGGAGTTTCATGGAATATTGACAGTCTTATTGTACTTTATATCACTCATCAGATCCTTTCACACTTTCAGCATTCGGTCGCTTTTAATCAAACCCTGTTTTCCTCTATAGTGTGACACGTTAGGTGATGTTTGAGCCCTGAGCACAATAAATGAATTTAGTGCTGACCAGTTCCAAACAAAGGTATGTGTGGTTTGCGTATGGTGGGACAGCGAGGTGACACCAATCCAATCCAGCTGCCAAATGAAGCAGCCTTGGTCTTAATAGCCCTGCCAAACACGTCTTCAATTTAGCATGTATGAGGTTAGCATGTTGTTTCATACCATCTTTATTGCACATACAGTATTTACATTAAAAACTGGTGGCATATCACCAATGAAAAATGTCACAAAAAATGAATGAATACTAAAA